TATGCAGTTATCTGACAAAACTACGATACATAATCACATATATATATAATTGCAGGTTTAAATGAATTCATATATTTAAAGCTGTAACTGTTAACATAGTAAAGAGCTAAAATACCTTATTTTGGCCTATGCTATATATAACTACACTTTCTTTTAATCTAAGGTGTAAAGTAGAAGCGATAAAATCCACTTGACAATCAAACTGATATTACCAAGCTTCTCTTAAAATAAGCATCTATGTAAGCATAACGTAGGATTAATTCTTAAAACGGATTGAAAATGTTCAAATATAAATAAAATTAAAGCATCATTATATATATCGATGAGTAAATAACTCTTAACTCACAAAATGTTGTTGTTAGTCAGAATCACAATTTACCACATATTTTGTGGGGTTAATTTTACTATTGTATATATCTTTTTTAATCGCGATACAATCATTTGTTTCACTAAGTCAAATGCTAGCGTTTATTCATGTTGAGCAGCCTACACAGTCATTAGCTAACATAAAACACATAAAAAACTCAGCAACAACATCTTTGTTTTCGTATAATATTCATAAATCCCCTTCTCATATTTCTAAAGTTCATAATCCGAGATAAAATACGAACCAATAGTGATTGCTAGACGATTCTTATATTTCTCTATATATCGCAACATTTATATTCTTATGATATTGAATTATTTAGTCTTGCCAACCTAGTCTAATTAATAATAATTAAACTGAAAATATGAAACAGTAACTTTGACTGAATATGAGAAGCTGTTTTCTGTCTCAATGTGATGGTTTAGAAAAACCACCAACAAAAACACCAACAAAAAACAAACAAAAACCTAAATACGATTAAGTCATGTCAAAGTATTTTTAAAACATGAGGAAACACAAACTGATAACACAAATAAAATAGTTTCTAATGTATCTGTATTCCCTAGAGATGATACGTTAGTCAAAGAATTTATCTGCTAAGCACTGAATTGGCAGTATAAATCGACTTTATCTATAGTACTAGCGAATCAGTACAATATCTGTTTGCCATGCTGCTCGACCACAAAACCATTCGTATATTATGTCATTATTCTGTATTTAATAAAATGAAATTTTCATTATTATCAACAACATGTCTAAACATTTTTAATAGAAGACTTATAGATACAAATGAAAATCTGTAGCCTCTGATCAAGCAATAATTTGCTATTTGCCCTGAATTTGGAAGCAGTCAAATTAACTACTTTACCCTATACTGGAGACCAGGAAGTAATTAGCTATATGAGAATGTAGCTGATTATATCCTGTGTTCAGTCTGATCATAGCTGCTGAGCATGCAAAATTGGTGTCCAATTCTGCGAGCATCGCCATTATATATAGCTGCTAACAAAAAATTGATAAATTGACAAGATGGAGAGGCTTTGATAACACAGTCTATGATGAGAATAAATATTAAACTAGGTAAAAAGTTCCAGATATTACTAAAAATTAGAGTCTTACAAACATTCTTAATGCTGTGATAAGAGCTAGTTGGTAATAAATCGATTGGATATTGCCAATGCTGTTCTTTCAGCTTATGAGAATGATCGTCGAAAAAGATACATGGTTCTAAAGGTTAAGAGCAAATGATAAGTAAGAGAACATGCTCGACAGACATCTTGACACTGATAACAGATTACAATATTGATGCGCGAGTGCCTTTTCACTAAATTTGCCATGAAACAAAATAAAATTGAGAGCAATAAGATAATCTATGTAAGGAAAGAGTACCATAATTCAGCTCATTTGAGTACTTATGTAAACAGACAATATAATTGACATGAATACTTTTGATATATATTATTATTCAATTATCAATTTGTTGAGAACGCATCTCAATCTATCTATTTTACATTGAAGAAATGATCGCTTTGCTCTTGTACTTGTGAGTATATACACCTAACCTTTTAGTCATTAGTAAATAATACCTTATTCAAAGTTATGACATCTTTATTCAGTTCCATGATATTTTTAGAGGCTTCTGGCGCAAAGGTGGTGAATGAACTAACGACATAAAACTATAACAAGCCTGTAAAGTGTATGCCTTAATATAAGGACCCACTAGGATTAAAAAAGGCCAAAAAAGTTATACCTCTGTCGAAAATGCAGGTTTCATCTAACAAGGATATAATAAACTTAGTCATGAATTCTATTATCTGTAACGAGGATAAAAACGATCCCTTAGAGTTTGATCGTTACCATTATAATTTGTAGCTGGACAAAATTACCGAACACACATACTAAGGCCAGTAAGAAGAATCAGGGGAAGTTGGGATAAGGTGATCTTTTCTTGCCAGGTGAGTTGTCTATGTTCTTATATATCAATACCTGTGTTAAACAAATTGCTCTAAAGGTGGGATCGATCCGCTATGAAAGCGTATTATTTTTAGAACTTTTTAATAGCAGTTATTTTTCTTGAACGTCACATGACAATATTAGATTAACCCCGAAATTAATTAGGTTTAAATGAAAAAATATCAGATGATTGACAGATTACAGTCAATTAGAGTTTACTGTTCTAATCGCTGAACACATATTAATCTGTTCAGAAATACATCAATTTTCATCTGACTGTGAATAAAAAATGATAAGACATAATTTCGACCAATGCAAAAGGCAGCTTAGTAATAATCAGCGATTAAAGATGGACTGCTGATAGAAACATATGCTGAGTAAGCATAAACGATCAAGAGAGACTGATTTAAAATGAGATTGATCGACAGACATTTCTGCTGCGAAGGATTGTTATAAACCTCGGAGAAAGCGAAATTTATTTACCAACAAGCTTTCCGTATAACGATGGAGATCTGATGCAGAAACAATGCGGTACTGTAGGAAATCAAAGCTAACTGTCGGGAAAATTTGGAGAAGTATTGTCATATATAAACATAACGAAAATTCTCTAAAGTTCTGAAGAGCTGAGACCCTCGTAGAGCGCGGGAAGTAGTCTGGCAGTTATTAGGTAAGCAAAATTTTTAACCTGCCTCACACTGAGTTTTTTTAAATAGAATAAATAACTTAAGCAGTTTATCAGTTACAAATTTTATGCATTTTAATTTTTTTATAAAATTATGTTTGTTAAGTTGCCATATTCTGATATTTTTAACTTAATTTAAGTTTAAGTGGCTAGCTGGGGTGGGAGTGGTTTTTCGTCGAACTACCAGTTCATCGAACTGATCTTATATAATAACACAGGTAGTGGTTTCGGCAACTTAATTTATATAGTGAACAATAGCTATTGTATAATGGGCACGTCAATTATCGCGGGTCATAATGTGTGGTTTATCACACCTTTTCATGCAATTAAAGACAAGATATTGAAAATTTAAACCTATTATTTATTCTTTTCTTTGGCATAATAATGATATTTACATAAAAGCATAACACAATACAAAAGAACAACATCATAGAAATATATATGGGTCATTCTAGATTTTTTTGAAAACACAATAAAAGTTGACAAATCAAGTCAACATTGAAAAAGACAGTCATACTTACAGTTTTCAAAGATTATCTACATTGATCTTGCTGTCATTTTAATCAACAACGAGAAATAAACTACTTTACGTCATATTCCTCCATGTTTTATTACCAGACCAAATACAAACTTCATTACCGTAATGCAATTTTGGCCAAGATTTAAAGAAATATTAATGGATTAAAATCTACAAAAATGCTTGCAAATGAAGCAAGTTATATTAAAAAGCGGGTCTGAAAAAGAATAAAATACTTTTTTTCGGTAGGTGAGAAAATATAGTTGAAAAATTGAAGATTGGTTACTTTTTGACAAAAATGTATAATAACACATTTGTTAGTGGTCTTGAGCAGGTGCATGGCACCTATAAATCTCTATAGACTAATGAAATATATTACAAGCAGAGATCTGCCAAGAATTTGAAAGTACTGGGCCCTGGGCCCACTTGGTCTGAAAATGATGGGCCATTTTTACCAAAGTATGGGCCTTGGGAAAATAAGTAAACATTGACCAAAATAACTGTTAAAAAGTTTGTAGATACATGTAATTGAATTTCCCCGGTAATAAAACTTAAATCATATTTTATGACAAGTGGTTCACTTATAATTCAGTACTTTACCAATAATTAAAAATTATGCCTACATGGTAACTTTCTAACTAATATTAATTGCAGGCAAAAATGAAAATATTTTTTTAATGGCTGCTCAAAAATTTGATATGCAAAATTTATTCACATAATTGCTGGTTCTTACTTGTAATGTCTTATATTGTGCATTATCCATTTAATTGTTCCTACTTTGCACAAAAATGTCCCTTATCAATGTATATTGACGAATTTTATTGCCCCTTGTATGCCTCTTTGTAGACAGCATACATCAAAGACATTTGCCGACAGACCTTTTGATCATGAAAAAAGTCATGCACAATGTTTCTCTGATTGGTTAATCACCCTGTCAAACATTCTGATGACGAAATATACATCTTTTTTTACACTTCATCAGCCAAAACTTGCGTGAACTTGAGTGACCTTAGGGTTGATCAAGTTGAACACCTGTCAGATTATACTGTAACTTACAGCATTTCTTAAAATAGCAACACTATTTTTTTTCAGTTACCGATAATCATTTTAAATATTAAGTTGTTGTATAATTTGTTTGTTTGTTTTATTGGATTAAATTTACGGTAGTAGAAATGAGTATCTGTGTGGGAAAGGGATTATGAGAAGAAATGCGGTAAGTAGATAACATGGACAAAAAGCTATAGGGGAATGGATAAAACTAAAAGAATATGCGTAATTACAGGAGCATGGGTAACAATGTTGCTGTTGGTACCAGTTTTGACTGGATGACTAAATAACCCAGCAGACAGTTTTGTTTTCTTATAAGTCTGGCACAGATTTTAGATGCGCCCATGGCCCTTTGCTGCCGATTTTCCTGCGCCATTCTCATTTTTTTAGCGCCAATGGCGCAAAATCGCGTCCTCGGCAGATCTCTGTACAAGTAATCATAAAATGTTAAACTGACTCGTTTATAATCCGAATTAAACTATCTGATTAAAATTTATGCAGTGTTACGGAAGTGAAAATGTGTTACGGTAATGAATGCTTCGTTATGGAAATGATATACATGTAACAATAACACATTTTTATTAACACGTCATAACTATTTAATTTCAGTTAAGAACATTTCATAATCAAAAGCAGCAATCTGAACAGTTTGATTTTTACAAGTCCATTTCTGCCTCAATCGCTCGCCAAACGTCAGGGTGAACCTGGCAATGTCTCCCCGTCACCTTCTCTGGGGGCCCGTCAAGAAGTGTGACCACTTTCTTCTTTTCGTACCATAGAATATCCGGTATAAGAGGCCAGAAAAAACGATTTTGACCAATCTTGTGCATAACCTGAAATATAAAATACCAAATATATCAATTTAGACGTTATAGCTCTTGAAAATATGAATTTTTATCTTAATGAAGGATATTACGTTCAATAGTTCAAGAAAAACGAAATAAAAATAAACAAAACAACAATTGTAAAGGTCGTTTTAGTTTTAATCTGATAATGCAAGGAAAACAACATAATATATGCTTTAGATAAAGAATATACCTTAACTTCAACGTCATTTTCATCCACGTCTAATATCTCTCCTGGATATGGCAACCCATCATACTCTACCACAGCCCAAAGCCCTATAAGGTCCTCATCTACAACTATCACTTTAGTGAGATATCCCGATAATGTCTCCTTTAAAAAAAATTCAAATAACTTAAAATGACTGGAATTTCCAAGGGCAACAGAATAAAAGGCATCAATCTTAATATATAACTTATCACTTATTATTATGATGGTGTGGTGATCCCCTGATTAAAAGCTGTCAGAAAGAAAGTAATTTATCAATAATGCAATAATTATAATGTGATAATGCAAATTGATTTCTAGAAATTTGAAGCGCGCAAATGACATTGTTTTATGGTTTACTATGTGTGTGCAGCTTTTGGTTCTTTATATTATATTTATCGACTTTAATAGTTCACAACAATGATGAATTTTAAATTGCACTTTAATGGCGCAGCGCAGGCGTTGTCTTGATCTCCTTTATGACTATCTTGTCTCCGCGCTTCTTTGTCAATAATTGCAAAATAAATATAGAAATTTTATAGGATATTGCCGTCAATAGTAACGAGCGCTATTATAATCCGTAATATACGTTGCTGTCTAGGTATACGGGAGATATTTCTCTGAGATAGATATAACCCTCAGTTTGTACATAGGCCTATATGTATCTCATTCAGACTATATATTATCCCGTATACCAAATGACATAAAGTCAAGAAACCTGTCATACGATGCTTAAGACTATATAATTCAAGATATTTAATTACCTTTATAGTATTTTCAGGAATCTGATTCGTCGTTATGCAGTTTAAATCGTCACATGAAGACTTTTCTAGTATCTTGTCCTAGAATAAAAAAGTAACAAACATACAAATCTCTATAAATACTGTTATATGTCTTAAATTTCAATTTATATTATTTTACAGCGATAGCCAGGAAGCATTACAAACAAATTCAAATTGATAATAAAGTTAGCTACACCATCTTTACGACAAAACCGCTTGTAATAATTATAACTATTCTAAAAGTTTCGTCGTTTATCATTGTATACTACCTTGTCAAACACAGTCATAACTGGCTTAAAACAGCTGCATCCATTTACATTAAGTCGATTGCAGAAACAGGACAGCTCTCTAGCATACACAATACCAGGGTTGGTCGCCGTCACCTTGAATCACAAACAAAAAAAAACTGTTATTAAATTATTATTAAACCAGATATATTACATCGTTTATTACTATCACAATATAGCTCAATTTCATTACAACATAAACACTTTAATTACAAATAAAAGTATGTTAAAAGATTTGAGCATGTGTTGTTACAAAACCATGGCTTTTTCAAGTTAATGAATTATTCGTGTATGGTTTGTATTTTAATGACAATTGATAATCATAAATTGAAAACTTTAAGTGGGTATTGTTTTATTTTGTAATGAACTATAATATAATTTATATCTATTTGAAAAGATAGTTTTGATAATTGAGATCCAGATTACAAAAATAATTCATACCTGATGAATTCTCATTGTTTGAGGAACAGCTTTTATATTTGCTGCCGTTGGTATTTCTATTGCCATTATATCAGACTCTGTGACTTCAAACACGTGAATAGATGAATCTTTAAGGGCATTTTTTAGGTCTGCTGCGCACTTTATATCATGACCAGCTAGCACATGACGATCACCTGTTCGCTTCACTACCGCCCCGATTCCATCTGCCGCCCCTTTACCGTGACCAGCTTCAAGGAAATTCCATGTGCCACTTTGGAAGCCAAAGTCAAATATCTTTGTGGAAAACAAGAACATATTTGTCTTATTCCTATATTGTGTAGTTGGGCCATCCGATAGAAAATGTATTATTGTCTGTCCATGTTCTGATGGCTTCAAACAATCAAATATAGGATATAAGTGACCCCATATTCCCGCTGGACTGTGTAAAAGACAATCTGAGACAGTTGCAAATGGCCATAATTTTTCTTTTGTGTAAGCAATTCCAGTATGAATACTTATTTGCCTTTGAGACGCACCAAAATGCATACTTTGAATTTCTGATTGTAACTTGCAATTGTAATTTTCACTGAAGTCCATATGGATAAAAATTTCTTGTTCAGTCATATTGTCTTTCAAAAATGCCATAGCTTTGTATTGATGTCTGATGTTAAAGATATGTCTAGCCGCCCTTTCCACCTCTTTATTTACTTCGGAATCTAACGTTTCGAGTGTACCACTTTCTACCTCTCTGATTACTTGTGTTAACATTGTCTTTTTTTCTGTTTCGATGCGCCTATTTTTCCACATACGCCACTTAACCTGTTTCCCCATGTCTATTGCATTGCTTTTTGGTACTTTGCTCTCTTTACAATTTTTACATTCACGATACATGCATTCTTTAATGTCAAGGGAATTTTTACACGTGACCGTCTTAACAATATCATCTACATTTTGACTGGTATACATGTTTTCAGCATATGCCGTTACGAGCTTGAAGGCTAGATTTTCATGAATTTTGCACAGGCATGTTTCTCTGTCCTTGGCTGTGGGTGGCCGAATCCAAAATGGGCGAAGTTTACAAAACAAACTATATGAAATATTCCTTTTGCCTATTTCTGAGTTAAACTTTTTTATTTAAGGGGTTTATATCATTTATTAAGGAGCCCGGACTGGGTTTTTTTTTTTCCCTTTTTTTGTTTTTTTTTTTTTTTTTTTGTCACTTTAACAGGGGAGTTATATCCTCTCGAAAAAATTCTGCACATTAAGCTTTACCTTTTTGGCTTTTATTTTAAAACTTTTCTGGCAGAAGATTTATCATTCATTTGATGAGTTAAACCCAAAACCCCCTTCGTTTCGAAAATTTTCTAATTTGTACTTTTTAAAAAGACGGGTAGCAAAATAAAAAAATTGAAATTTTTTCTCTTCTTTTCTTATCTTAGTCATTCTATATTTTTCCTTCAAAAAGCCGCTATAACGGTAAAAAAAGTAAAAGAGGGCCCTTTTTCCCTCCGTCATGGCCTTTGATTATTTCATCTTCATCTTCTTTATTTTTATAATACTTTTTCTTCTGTCTCTGCCATCTTTTCTTATACTTTTCCTTTAGCCTTTCTTCTTTTTTTAAAGCCACACGCAGTCTGAAGATTTCCCTATACGCTTTAGACCTATCTTTCCTAACCTTCTTTCTTCCTAGCTGTCTGGCAACTTGTTGTTGATAATTTACTTGTTCCTGCCTTGCATCTGGGGACGTTGGTGGCGTAAGTGCGTTTTCAATAGCTCCTAGTATTTTCTTTTTTCTGTTATAATATTCATTCGAACTTTGCCTCCACTGTTTTCGTTTGGTTCTCTGTTCTCTATTTGTCATATCTTTTATTGACCTCACAACTCCTCTTTTCTTCTTTTGTTGATACCTCTCTCTTTCTTTTCTTTTATACTCTTCATGTTTACTTGGACTGTCTCTTTGCCTCTGCCTCCATCTTGCTACTCTTTCGGCATTAGACATTTTCCCTCCTGTTCTACCAACCATTCTACAAACTGTTTTCTTCTAAGAAGTATCAAATCTTTCAGCCTATCAATTCTTAATTGCAGATATAAGATGCGCTGGGTCAATTTATTGCTTAATTCTCTTTCAGGTTCTTGCAGAGCACAAAGCTTTTTTTCCAACTTGCCAAGAATAATGTCTAAACCATCGATTTCTAATCGTGTTTCTACAATTTTAAAAATTGTTTTCATTTAGTTACTATTAACAAGTTGTTTATATTATATATTTATAAATGGAAAAAATGAGACATACATTGTATTGATTAAATAGAATATGTATTTTCATGATCCGTATTTTCACCGTCAAAACTATTTTTTCAAATACTTTTTTTAAAATTACTTTCGGTATTTCAACTGGTGTCTTCAATACGTGCAGCTCTTTCAAATTCCAATGTCAAAAAAGAGAGATAAATGTATATAATACACTGAAAATCAAGTTTTATTTTTCTATAAATACAGGAATTATTCTCATCGTGTGGTATAAAATGATCAATCGATTTCGATGCTACCGCCACTCATAAAGTATTTATTTTCTTACCAATAAATGAAAAAAAACCTGCATTTATAGAAAAAAACTTGAATATCACCCATTTATTTCTTTCGAAATAAAATAATAAAATAATTCTATATCTATCTATTTATCACATCTATTGGTATTTTGTCCGCTTTGTATATTGTGTTGCAAATTTTTTAAATTTGGCATGTAGAATCTAAACGTATTAGATCTATCTATTTTGTATTAGACATGTTAGAGAAGAGATTGTTTTATATATTGCTTAAAGGATTTTAAACATTATAATGACATGTTAGATAATTTTAATTCTGTGAATTCATGTTTTCTTATTTTAATTAATATGTCTTTGTTTAACAACATTTATCACAATGTATCATCTATATTTGTTTAAGTTTAACTAAATTTCAACATAGTTATTAAAGATGCAAATATACTATCAGTTCCGTAACACTATTATCAACTCCGTAATGATTTTTCATGTTACGGTAATGAGGATTACGGAGATGAGATTATTCCAGTATTTTCTCTAAACCACACTGTAAACTGTGTAAATCAAGAATGTTTTTCTGTTACAAAGGTTATTAACATGGCTGGAAGCGTATGCCGATATATCAATGACTGTGTTTAAAACCATTTATTTTTCATAAGATATACGGAATTGAAAATAAGAAAGCATACGCTTAAATAAAATTCACTCACCAGAAACGTATTCGTCCGCCATGACATATCTTCTCGCCAGATCTACCGCCTTTTGAATTTTCCCGCGGTATCAACTTTATGTGACGTCACATCATGACGAAAGTAAAAATGTTGCGAAAATCTCCTGCCTTTTCTAACATTATTACGGGAATGATAAAAAACTTAGGAACATGATTCAAAGTTAGATTTTGTTTTGTTTTCGTGTAGCCATTGTTTATTTGTATGTAAATCTTTAACTGATTGTCTATTGGGACGGTCAGGGAACACTAAAACCGAGGCTTAAGCGCGACGGTACCGGTTTCATTTTACTAAATAAATAAAAGGCTGTGTTTTGGGACATTTCCATATTACGATATCTGGTCAAAGATGTGTTCACTACATAACATTTATAACGCAGTTTTGACATTTTTCTTAAATGCAATGCTTTTGAATATGTATGTCTGATCACATTGTAAGATATATTAGCAATAGATAGATTATATGCATCAGAAAAACACCTATTTATGGCCGGGGACATTGGTTTCTAAAAAAAAGTAGAATTAACCATATACATATAAAAGTACAACCTGAAAAAAACCTAAAGAGTCAACATTTACACAAATTACATTTCACACAAGTTTATTTTTATAATATAGGTCAAACTATATACACAAATAGTGAAAGCTGAATAAATTGCTTTTAATCGGGATAAAATTGATATATATACAGTCAAAACTGTCTGCAGCCAGCCAAGGGATGCAGTCATTTTGGCTGCTTAAGACAGGTGGCTGCTGAATGGAGGATCCAGTTTTTATCCCAATTAATTATTCATTTAAATATCTTCGTAAAATAAATCTAATTTAAGTATAAATAAACCAGTCTGATTCATCATCATCATCATCAGTTTTTTACCACTTACAAACGTATGCCATTAATAGTTTAACATGTACACACTCCTTCCAACATAAAGCTTTACATGAATGTAACACAGAAAAACAAATGCACTCACGATTTATTATGTCAATAATTGAAACTAATTTTCCCATAAAAATATCTTCTTGCACAATACATGTAACTTAAAATGCGTAATATTTCTTAACAAAAAATAAGACAGTTTCTTTTTCTAACTTTTGATCAACAGAATATTGTGTACACGTCATCTAAGTGTCGGCACTTCCTTTGATGTTCCAGAACTACAGGTTTGTAAACATCAAAGATTCTTTTGAAGAGCCCGCTAGTTACCCCTTAGAGGTCATCTAGTGTGTAACTTAATGGGTGTGATTTAACAATGACATCATTATATTTATGCAATTTTATTTTCACACATGGATCAAGTTTTTCATGAATTTATGACTGAGGAATTTAGACAATCGGCGATGTAATTCATTTTCATTTCTTTGGTAAGTACCATGTATGCACCAAATTTTTCTGAATCGGGATAAACTGATAAAAAGGAAAACAAATCAAAATATTTCTTTCCGCCATCAACAATGCATTTTTTCTTCTTTTTTATTTCTTAAAATCGGTAAATTGAAAAATAAAGCTAGCTAGTAATTCAAAAGAACGAATTGCAAGTGCGTGGAGACGTTCCAAACGTTTGTAACTACGACACGGATGAACAATTATGCAAATTCATTCTTGAAATGTTGTAGTTTGTGCTAATATCTAGCCTGACAAGTAGCTTTTGTTAATCCGTGACACGTGTCATCCTTACAAATAAATGACAAAAGATTGTCTGGCCGTTTCACTTGGCTGACCGCTTAAGATGACCGAGTTTAAGATTCGGGAAGCATTTTAGGTGACTGTTGACCGCGGACAGCAGGTGACCGTTGAACACATGTATAAAATAGAGTGGTTTTCGTGGGGAGCGTCACAAAATGGCCGTTAAGGTCAGGTGACCGCTGAAAAGAAGTGATCCTTAGTACAGGTTTGACTGTACACAGAAAAAAAATAAAGCTTGAAATTAAGTTATACATGTAATATGATTAGTGTTTACAGCTTAACTAATCGGCTGATAAGACAAACAAACTTTCTCTGTCATCAATTATAAACAATTGATTTATTTCGTAAACCAAGCCCTAACTAAACATTTAATTTTGCAAACAAAATAATATTGTTTTTTTTTTTTGGTAATTTATTCTTGACTCAAAAATAATTTATCGAATAACGAAAAAATCATTATCAAAATAAGTATAATAAACAAACTTCTACAATATATTATATTCATTAATGATTTGTCATAATTTAATTATAACAAAACATTGATGATAAAATCATTATATATATATGAACCACGTCTACTTTGCCTTTAATTACTATATAACTTAAATTCGACGAAACCACTTTCGCACCTCTTAATAGATTAAGTTCGCCGAATCGGTAGTTCACGAAACCACCATAATTAGCTAGCTGTACCTCATAACCTGGGGTTGAGCTGTATGGACCTAATTTAAGTTTTTAAGTGGCTAGCTGTACGGGCCTGTCCTAGCCAAAAGTTCTAGCCATATGGAGTCACGTCCGTCTAGCCCATATGCACTGTTTGCTCTAGTTGTACGGCATTTTTTCAATAATAAATCAAATTACAGTCATTTAAGATTTTGAATTTACTGGTCCAAATTCCAGTTTAGAATTTATTCTACTATATATTTAACTAAAATTTACGCTGGCCCGAAACTAATTTTCACTGGCCATGGGCCACCGGGCAAGTGATAAATTCGATGACTGAAATTATGATGAAGTCAGTAACTTGCATGTCTTATAAATATAGATTTTATTACACTTTCCCAAAGAATGAACATGTCCTGATATTATGACAAGATATCGGATATCTGTCAGAAATAAATTCATCTTTAATTAAAGAGTTTTTGTGTGCCGATGGAAATTCTGTGTTATTTACAAGTTGTAATTATTAAAGATACTATGTCATACTCAAAATTGACCATTTTTATTGCCCTTAAGTCCAAAAGTGCCTGTGGCAATTTAATGTGCTGCCTCTATATCCACAATTAGGAGTGATTATGCTGAACCCAAATTCATAGCTGATGGTTACATTTTGGTCGTACAGTATCCTTGTTTCTAATAACAGGGTTTGTAATATTTTTCATAGTGGGGAATTTTTAATTATCCCCCGCCGAAAAATTTCGGCGGAGGATATAGAAATAGTCTCCGTCCGTCCGACCTTCCGTCCGTCCGTCCGTCCTTCCGTCCGACATTTTTGTCCGGAGCATATCTCTAAAAGTATTTGAGGTATCACCTTGAAACTTCATAGGTGGATAGACCTCATTGAGGAGGAGTGCAGTGCACAAGAATGATAACTCTACCTTGCATGATTTTTGAGTTATTGCCCTTTGTTATTTTTCAAAATTGATTTTTGTCCAGAGCATAACTCCAAAAGCTTATGAGATATTAACATGAAACTTCATAGGTGCATAGATCTCACTCAGGAGGTGTGCAGTGCACAAGAATGATAACTCTACCTTTCATAATTTTTGAGTTATTGCCCTTTGTTATTTTTCATACCTAATTTTTCACCTGAGTGGAGCATAACTCAAAAAGTGTTTGAGATATCAACATGAAATGTCATAGGTGGATAGATCTTATTGAGGAGGAATGTTTGTGTGCAAGAATGATAACTCTTCCCTATACAATTTTTGAGTTATTGCCCTTTGTTTTTTTCTATGTTATTTTGTCCAGAGCTTATCTCAAAAAGTATTTGAGGTATCAACTTGAAACTTCAAAGGTGGATGGATCTCATTGAGGAGGAGTGCAGTGCTTAAGAATGATAACTCTACCCTGCATTATTTTTGAGTTATTGCCCTTTGTTATTTTTCAAAATTAATTTTTGTCCAGAGCATAACTCAAAAAGCCTTTGAGATATCAAAATGAAACTTCATAGGTGCATAGATCTCACTCAGGAGGTGTGCACTGCACAAGAATGATGACTCTACCTTTTATAATTTTTGAGTTATTGCCCTTTGTTCTTTTTCATACTTAATTTTTCAATTCAATTTTTTTCTCAAAAAGTATTTGAGGTATCAACTTGAAACTTCATAGGTGGATAGATTTTACTGAGGAGGGATGCAGCACACAAGAATTATTCCGCTCTACTACATATACATTCTTCCAATGAGCAAACACATTCGGCGGGGGATGGCCATGTTGACATGGCTCTTGTTCTGATTGAAATAGCCCCTCAAAACAATAATTATATGAGAAAACAGGGTATGTGTCATTTCAAAACAGCTTGCTGTTCTACCGGCATCATTAATATCAAAGTTGTGGTGACATTTAGCATTCATGGTAAGAATTTGAATGACTGACAAGTCATTTTGTTGAATGAAGAGTCTGCAACAAAATTCAAGGCTTCTGCATAACATGTTTGAGCAGGAGACATAAACATTGTAAATCTAATCTTCAATGCCGAAAACTTCCCTCGCATATTTCCACGTCAACATTTTGGTCACACACCACTGTTAAGTTGATGACAAAGGGCCAGGTGATAGTTTGATTTGTAATATACATTGTACAATGAATAAAAAAAAATAGCAACTCTTTGGTGCTTCTTATTTAAGTTGATGTGTTAGTATTTGAAACACTGCTCCACCCTATTCCAACTAGTTAAGCTTGTCAAAGAGACATCAAGATAACTTTTGGATGGGCATTGTCTTTTTTTCATTGGTTTGATGGTGCAAAAAAGTCTTAAAAATGGGTCAAAAAAATTCTTGTGTGTTTTACCTTACCATACAATATTGTGTTAATTTTCAGATATATACGCCTATATGGATTGAAGTTTTCAAAAGAGGATCATGTAAATTTTATCCATTTACTGTATGAGCTGACAGTCATTCCTGACCTGGAGATGTCTCTGGTCTCAAAGTTTGCTCAACAACTCTCCGGTCTTCTCAAGTAAGTTTGTATTCACATATAAATATTACCTGTGTCCTAGCAAGTATGATATTGGTATTAGTAATTACTGGTCTCAATTTGCTTTCAGGAATGCCTTTATAATGTGCATTTGTCAAATTTCACTACAGGTGTATCAACTCCAGTATAAACAAGCCTTGTGCATGAAATAAGATACAAAGGGGCATAAGAGGCTTTCCTCTATCAGTAAAGTTTGAAAATTGCGATCCATGACTTTGTAGTGTCAGAATGACTTAAATACATGTACATGTAACAGGAAGTATGAAATCTAAATTGAGTGATATACTGGCAAAAGATATCTCATATATTTTATACCAGGGCTCACACTGGCTCAAATAAAATAATAGCCAATAATTTTAACTTAAAAAAATAATAGCCAAAAGTTCAGCGGACTATTCACGAATTAGCGATTAACAACATAAGCAGTTGATTAAATAAACATTACATTTATATCTTTCAGTTTTATAAGGATTCTCAAATAAACTGATACATTTGTGTATATTGATAACTACCTTTTTTTAAAAATAGAACCACAACTTTAATTGTTATTATAGAACAGAATAAAAACGTTATAATTAGTATAATTACTGTATAACAATAATATTAAAGATTCATTATAACTTTACATAATGCTGTTATCAGACAACTTTTTTTGTTTGTTCTAATCAAATTTTGTCAGCTATAAAATTACCACTGTCAATTTCACACAGAACTGGAGCATAGGCACTTGGTTTTGGGATAAAAAGCCTTTTGAAGGGTTTGTAGAGCTAATTATTACTAAAAAAATAATATAAATAGTAATATCGGAAAAATGTCAAATTTAGAATCGAGACATCTACGTTAAAAAATCGTTACATTCAATCAAATTTGAGCTCTACAAACCCTTCAAAAGGCTTTTTATCCCGAAACCAAGTGCCTATGAACTGGAGTAGATCTAGGTCATATTAGCCTATAGAAATAACACAAGTTTGCAAACTCATTCACAGAATGCAGCCTTTTTTCTGAATAATTTACTGAAAAATATCATCATCACCAATGTAATACATATTTTCTGCCATAGTAGTAAAGATTTTTAAACAGAACATAGCTTAATTCACCTTTAAATAAATATCAAAATTATCGGTGTCGCGAAAATATGTGACAATCGGATTTTTCCTGTTTTCTTGAGAAATATTCACAATTTTGGTTGTTGTGCAAATAGTTGTTTAGAATTTAATACTTTTAAATATTTTACCATTGTTTTCCACTGGCGATTTAGTCAAGTAGCTTAAAAAAAAAATCAAAATTTGCAATTACTGGAATTCACGGTAAATTTTGGGTAAGTCAATATCCAGTTTATCAATTTTAAAACGATTTTTGTGGCTAATTGACGGATATTTGATGGCTATTATAAATGCTGGACAATATCTTTAAAGTACTTATACAATTATACATCTCGCATGTATTTTATCACCTCGGGCAATATAGTTAGCAGCACGTGACCGGTAAAAAGTTGACACTCAATTAAATGCACCCCGCTGGTGTTAATTGGGACTACTGCATTCATTATCGATTTTTACACCTTATATAAACACTGTTGGAAGTAAAAAATAATCGCCAGATTTTGTAGCCAAAATGCAAAAATAATCGCCAACCTTATAAAATAATCGCAAATGGCGACTATGGCGACCGACAGCGTGAGCCCTGTTATACTCTGCTTAGATTTTGTGCTTAGTTGTCAAGATATTTAAAAAATGCCATTTGTCAATTTTACATGTATTACAAATAAGTCACACTGTATCAATAAAGTAAACTCTTGTTGATGGTCAGAGTTTTCTTACCATGTGTGCATTGCATAGTTTTGTATGATTGCAAAGATTTAAAAATGTTCCATGATGATAAAAAAAGATACATTTAATGATGCATTAGGGTTGAAAAAGGAGTAGTTTAAGTCCAGAGATGTTGCAGTACATTATAAAATTTACAATTTTTATGGTATTTAATAACAGTATCATATTTCAGAAAGAAGAAGTTGTTGTTTAGAGATGACCTGACTCTTCAATGGAAACCACTTTATAAATTGTTAGAGTCTGTTCTGTACTCACAATATGAGCAGCATGGCCTTCAGCTGTTTCCAGGGTAATGTACAGCCATTTTGTTTTGCTATGATATGTTTTCATAACTTTATTTATGTTTTTATTGTCAATCATGTTTTGGATTGTCAATACACAGGTGGTGGGCTTTTATCCTGACTTGAATGATTTGTCTGAATTGTACATTTGTACATTCAGTCACTTGCTTAGAAAGCTTTAAAAAATACATGTATAAATGCATGTTCATCTCTATAATTATTAATATTTGCATTCTACATGGAATAATACAAAAATATAGTTTCCATTGTACAAGTTTTTGATTCAACAGTCCATTTAATGTATATGTCACTGTTTACTTATAAGGCAATACCAATTGCTTTTTCTTACGAAAACTTAAACAAAAAATGGCGTATCTGATTAAAAAAAAAGAAGAGAAGAATGATGACAAAACAGAATTATTTTGTAACTTCATGTATATTTCGTTATTTGTATTGCAGGAAATTAAGGATCTTAAGATGAAAATGTTATCATTATTTCCTGTTCCATGATAAAGTAATTGATTTTCTAGAAAATTGTAGTTTTCTTAAGTTGTTTGCATACAAAACGAACATTCTTAAAGTTATGTTATCTTATTTATCAAGTGACTGTTAATTATCTTACATGATATAAGAGTGTTGTATTAATATAAACACCCACATCTCAACTTGCTAATATCAAGTATGTTTAAATTTCAGAAATATTGAGTCTGTTTTGAAGAATCTTGTGCGAGACTGTAGAACGTAAGTTATCTTGAGATTAATCATTATAAACCACAGTATTTTTGGGAACATACATGTAAAACATACCCTTTAGATTGAGAATTTTATGCTCTTTGCTCATATGAAAAATACAAGATTACAATGTAGCATTAATTTGGTCTCGCATTATAATTTACTTCATCTTGAGTGTGTTAGTTTACGTTCTAAGCTAATTACTCGGCCTAGTATCCTTTTCATATTTTCTGGTTTTCCCAAATATAATATAATATGTTATATAATATATTATATATACAAAATGTATTATGTTTTATTATGTTTTTGTCTTGGAAGTTCCGTTTAGGGACTTTTGTCTGAGAATGGGAAAAAAACTTCCATATAAAATGTGCCCAAAAAAATCCTTCATGATATATAAGAACTGATGCGTTATACGATGTATATACAAAATATTGTACAACAAAGACTATCTTTAAGTTTCTACAGGCAATTTATATCCATGCCTTTTTAGCTCGACTTTTCTATGAAAAGGGGAGCTATCCTACTCGCCCCGGCGTCGGCGTCGGCGTTAGCGTTAGCGTTGGCGTCACACCTTGGTTAAGTTTTTCGTACCACCCCACTTTATTTCAGAAGTATTACAAGTATGGCTTTGAAACTTACCATACTTGTTCACCATCATAACCTCCATCTACAGACAAGAGTACATAACTCTGTCAAGGTTTTTGACAGAATTATGGCCCTTTTTTGACTTAGAAAGTGTATTGAGCTTGGTTAAGTTTTTTTGTACCACCTCACTTTATTTCAAAACCATTGGAGGTATTGCTTTGAAACTGACCATACTTGTTTACCATCACGACCTTCATCAACAGACAGAGGACATAACTCTGTCAAGGTTTTTGACAGAATTATGCCCCTTTTTGACTTAGAAAATACATTGAATATGGGTAAAATCCACTTATTGCCTTAACCCTTTGAGATATTGCTTTGAAACTTTTAATGCTATTTCACATCATTACCCCCATCTGTACGCAAGAGAAGGTAACTCTGTCAAGGATTTGTTTTAAAAATTAAGGCCTTTTATCGACTTAGAATCTTGGTTAAGTTTTTTGTACCACCTCACTTTATTTCAAAACCATTGGAGGTATTGCTTTGAAACTGACCATACTTGTTTACCATCACGACCTTCATCAACAGACAAGAGGACATAACTCTGTCAAGGTTTTTGACAGAATTATGCCCCTTTTTGACTTAGAAAATACATTGAATATGGGTAAAATCCACTTATTGCCTTAACCCTTTGAGATATTGCTTTGAAACTTTTAATGCTATTTCACATCATTACCCCCATCTGTACGCAAGAGAAGGTAACTCTGTCAAGGATTTGTTTTAAAAATTAAGGCCTTTTATCGACTTAGAATCTTGGTTAAGTTTTTGTACCAGTCCACTTTTTGACTGAACTGTTTGAGATATTAATTTGAAAGTTGGAATACTTGTTTACAATCATGATTCCCAAACATGTCCAGGAGAAGGTAATTCTGTCAAAGATTTTATTTGAATTATGGCCCTTAACTGTCAATGTTTTGTATTATAGGCAAGCACTAAAAAAGTCGAGCGCGCTGTCTTACGGACAGCTCTTGTTAGCTCACTTGTCACAAAGTGACATGTTGAGCTTTTGTGATCGCTTTTTGTCAGTCTGTCTGTAAAATTTTACTTTAAACAACATCTCCTCATAGGAATGTTCCTTTGGTCGTCAACTTTAAAATTGTTCAAAGAATTTATTTCCAAGCAGAACTCTGGTTGCAATGGCAACCGAAAGAAAAAACTTAAAATATCTCCCTTTGGGAAAGCGAAAGAGCTAGAGCTTAAATATTTGGCCTGAAACATCATCTATTCAGTTTTCAAGTTTGTTTAAATAAAAGCCCTGGGGTCAAAATTGGCCCCGCCCCAGTGGGTCATTGATTTTCCTTTTTTATATGCCCGAAAGAATTTCGGGCATATTATGTTATACCCCTGGCGTCCGTCAGTCTGTCCATCCGTCCGTCTGTTAGCAATTTGGTTTCCGGAGCATAACTTAAGTTCCATTTGGCCCACAATATTCAAACTTCATAGGATGATTGTCCATCTTGGGTAGTAGACCCCTATTGATTTTGGGGTCACAAGGTCAAAGGTCAAGGTCACTATGACCTTAAAACTGAAAACAGTTTCCGGAGCATAACTTAAGTCCCATTTGGCCCAAAGTGTTCAAACTTCATAGGATGATTGTCCATATTGGTTAGAAAACCCCCATTGATTTTGGGGTCACAATGTCAAAGGTCAAGGTCACTATGACCTTAAAACTGAAAACAGTTTCCGGAGCATAACTTAAGTCCTGTGTGGCCCACAGTGTTCAAACTTCGTGGGATGATTGTCTCTATTGGGTAGAAGACCCCTATTGATTTTGAGGTCACAAGGTCAAAGGTCAAGGTTGCTATTACTTTAAAACTGAAAACAGTTTCCGGAGCATAACTTAAGTTTCATTTGGCCCATAGTGTTCAAACTTCAAAGGATGATTGTCCATTTTAGGTAGAAGACCCCTATTGATTTTGGTGTCACAAGGTCAAAGGTCAAGGTCACTATTACCTTAAAACTAAAAACAGTTTTCGGAGCATAACTTTAGTTCCATTTGGCCCATAGTGTTCAAACTTCATAGGATGATTGTCCATATTAGGTAGAAGACCCCTATCGATTTTGGGGTCACAAGGTCAAAGGTCAAGGTCACTATAACCTTAAAACTAAAAACAGTTTTCTGAACATAACTTAAGTTCCATGTGGCCCACAGTGTTCAAACTTCATAGGATGATTGTCTATATTGGATAGAAGACCACTATTGATTTTGGGGTCATAAGGTCAAAGGTCAAGGTCACTATTACTTTGAAATTGAAAACAGTATAATTAAGTATAACTTAAGTTCCATTTGGCCAACAATATTCAAACTTCATAGGATGATTGTCCATATTGGGTAGAAAACCCCCATTGATTTGGGGGTCACAAGGTCAAAGGTCAAGGTCACTATGACCTTAAAACTGAAAACGGTTTTCGGAACATAACTGAAGTTTCATTTGGCCCACAGTGTTCAAACTTCAAAGGATGATTCTCCATATTGGGTAGAAGACCCCTAGTGATTTTTAGGGTCACAAGGTGGTCATGGTCACTATTACTTTAAAACTGAAAATAGTTTCCGGGCATAACTTAAGGTTCATTTGTCACACAATATTCAAACTTCATAGGATGATTGTCCATATTGGGTAGAAGACCTCTATTGATTTTGGGGTCACAAGGTCAAAGGTCAAGGTCACTATTACCTTAAAACTGAAAACAGATTCTGGGGCATAACTTTAGTTCCATTTGGACTACAATATTCAAACTTCATAGGAGGATTGTTTTTTGATAGAGGTTATACTTTATTTATTCCAATGTCTTACATTTGCGTCATCTTTACTTAAAATGCTCTGCCTAGCGGTGCTCTTATTGTATATAGTAAAAACTTAAAAAATCTTATTTTAAAAAACCCAAAAAGCTAGGGCTTAGATATTAAGCTTGAAACATCTTCTATTGGGTGTCTACCAAGTTTGTTCAAATAACTGCCCTTGGGTAAAAATTGGCCCTGCCCCAGGAGGTCATTGATTTTCCTTATTTGTATATAGTAAAAACTTAAAAAAATCTTTAAAAAACGAAATAGCTAGAGCTTAGATATTAAGCATGAAACATCTTCTAGTGAGTGTCTACCAAGTTTGTTCAAATAAGGGCCCTGGGGTTAAATTGGCCCCATCCCAGGGGTCATTAATTTTCCTTATATGTGTATAGTAAACACTTTAAAAATTCGTTTATAAAAACCCAAAGAACTAGAGTTTATATACTACGCATGCAAACATGCAAAGTCTTCTAGCGAGTGTCTAATTGTTCAAATAAAAGCCCTGGGGTCGAAATTGGCCCCTCCCAGGGGGGGGGGGGGTCATTGTTTTTCCCTATAAGTATATAGGAAGAAATTAAAAAATCTTCTTATAAAAACCCCAAAGAGCTAGAGCTTAGATATTAATCATGAAACATCTTCTAATGGGTGTCTGCCAAGTTTGTTCAAATAAAGGCCCTGGGTTTAAAATTGGCCTTGGCCCAGGGGCCTATATACAGGTGAGCGATTTTAGGGCCATCATGGCCCTCTTATTTGTCTTTAATGACAGAAAATGATAGAATACACAATGATTTCAAAAGATTATTGTAGTTGAATAACCTTGAATTGCTTTTTGGTAATTTTTAGGTATTTCCCTGCTGAGAGTACCCAGGAAATGTTAGATGAGTGGCGCCCTCTACTCTGTCCATTTGATGTCACGGTGATAAAAGCACTACAGTACTTAGACTTGTTTTTACCCACAAATCTCATGGAGCATGAGATGGATAAAGGATTTAGGTAAGTTGTTTGTTTGTTTGTTTGATTGAGTTTTTCGTCACATGACACGTTCCAGCTTTACTTGTGGAGGAAGACCTTAGGTGCCCTTCCATGCATGATTTCAGGCACAAACGGGCACCTGAGTAGAACCACCGACGTTCCCTAAGCTAGTTGGATAGCTTCCTCACATGATAGAATCCAAAGTCCCTGTCGGGATTCGAACCCACAGCGATGAGAGTTTTAGGTAAGTAAAGTAGATACAAATGAATTTTATATTTACTGGTGCCTGCTTGTGCTTGAGTTATAAATATACAAATGGACAATTGATAAGCTGGAATGTAGAATAAGCTTATATTTGTAACACCACTTGGGTCAGGTTGGAGCGTTAAGATTTCACAACAGTTGTCAAAGTGAACCCTGGAAACGTTAAAGAACATGTCAAATGAACGACTTAGACTTGTTTCAATCATACAATATCCAAAATATATGTTATTGTAACTTCCAGGGTTTGTTCAAGTCTCATGACTTAATTTAAAATTACCCATGATTCAGTCGATGTTTGAATTTCGTTCAACATATATAGATATATTTACAACTAAAACCCAATATATATAATACGAATACAGAAATCATGCTGGGACTTTAAAAATGTCATTTCAGCATGATTTGAGTACATTAAATCATTTTAATATTTTTTATAGCCCGTTTGAAAAACGGGACATATTATGGGAACGCCCCTGGTGGGCGGGTGGTCCGGCGGGCGGGCGGTTGGTCGGGCAGGTGGGCGGGCTTCGTCCAATTTTGTCCGGAGCATATCTCCTACATGTATGGAGGGATTTTAATGAAACTTCATAGAAATGTTCACCACTATGAGGAGCAGTGTCGCGCACATGAACCAGGTCTCTAGGTCAAAGGTCAAGGTCACACTTAGAGCTCATTGAAAAATGCTTGTCCGTAGCAAAACTTCCACATGCATGGGTGCAAGTTTTCCGGCATGTGCCGGAAGTTCCGTTTTTTCACGTGCCGGAGGGACCATTTTTGCAAATCACGTAAATCCGTTGAGATATTTGGAGGGGTATGGTGTGGGTCTACTCTTTCAAACTGAGAAGTACCACCGATTAGAAGTTCATAATCGAGAACGCTATATAACATACGGATGCTCACGGTTGTTCTCGAAGCGTCAATAGTAAACTTTCGCGGAAACTGCCGATAGTTTCCGAAGATATACGAGATGTTTACGAAAACATGTATTATTAATCCCGGCATGCAATTTTATCCGTGAATTTATTACAACGATTTAGATTGGCGCGCTAATTATAATCATCCAATGAAAAAGCGGCTTCGTTACCGATTCGGCTACAGAGTAATATGTAAACAGAAAGTAATTGTACAATTTGTTAGTCAAAATGAAGTTTCTACACGAAGGATTTAAAACAAAAGATATCGAGAAGACCTCAAAAAATAAATGGAGATGGGAATGGTTGTCTGTATGTGATCGAAACGGGGATAACTACGGAAACTGGCTGGAAAAGCCAGACGTTCCCGGCGTAGCTTTCTGCACTGTAGCGGGAAAAAAAGAATTAAATGCACGCAGACGATCCAAACCATATGAAAAACAAACTTACTGTGAAACATAACCAGGCTTGTTTTAATTATCTTTTTTGAAAACAATTTTTTGTTTGTATGGAATCAGGGTCAGCTCAGCCCTAATTAAAACGTAAACTCGGTACAAATCAACTCAGTTTTCAATTTATTTATATATTGGTTTGTTTTATCACTCTTTACTTTTGGAACCACAATATTAAATAGTGGAAACAATATATGAATGCACATTTCTTTTTGTGTTGAGATGTTTTTGTTTATATAATTAACAAAAAGAGAGAGAAAAGAAGAAAATAATTATGTGAGCAATATTTAAGTGAAAATACTATACTACAGTATGTATGTTATCTGGCATGTAATCATTCAAGGGAATTGCATTTTAGGCCTTCAAATGTGCTATAATGCAGGAGCTTCCGGGGGCCTCCGGCCCCCCGGACCCCTGGCCAGGCGTTGCCCTGGACCCAGCGGGGGCCCTTGCGGCCCCCTGGCCCCCAAACAAATAGTTCAGGTTTTTCAAAATTTTTAACTTGCACCCATGCACATGTATAGAGGGATTTCAATATTACTTGGCACAAATGTTCACCATTGTGAGGCGGAGTGTCGCGTGCAAGATTCAGGTCCTTGCGGCCAAGGTCAAGGTCACACATAGAGGTCAAAGTTCAGATAAAAATATGAAGATGTGTATATGGACCATTTAGTCATCATTTATTGAGGGATTGTAACACAAATGGTCATTATCAAGACTATAGCTGTGATACATATAATTTAGGTCAATATATACAAGGTCAAGGTCACTAAAGATGGTGAAATATCCAGATTTTGTTCGGAGCATATCTCCTACACGCATGGAGGGATTTTAATGAAATTTCATAGAAATGTTCACCATTATGAGAAGCCATGTCACGCACATGAACTAGGTCTCTAGGTCAAAGGTCAAGGTCACACTTAGAGCTCATTGAAAAACGCTTGTCCGGAGCAAAACTTCCACATGCATAGAGGGATTTCAATATAACTTGGCACAAATGTTCACCATTGTGAGGCAGAGTGTCGCGCACAAAATTCAGGTCCCTGCAGCCAAGGTCAAGGTCACACATAGAGGTCAAAGTTTAGATAAAAATATGAAGATGTGTATAGGGACGATTTAATCATCATTTATTCAGGGATTGTAACACAAATGGTCATTATCATGACTACGGCTGTGACACATGTACTTTAGGTCAATATATGCAAGGTCAAGGTCACTAAAGATGGTGAAATATCCAGATTTTGTCTGGAGCATATCTCCTACATGTATGGAAGAATTTTTATAACACTTTATGGAAATGTTCACCACCATGATATGTATTGCTCCATGCATGATCCAGGTCAAAGGTCAAGGTCACACTTAGAGCTCATTGAAAAACGCTTGTCCGGAGCAAAACTTCTACATTCATAGGGGGATTTCAATATAACTTGGCACAAATGTTCACCATTGTGAGGCTGAGTGTCGCACGCAAAATTCAGATCCCTGCTACCAAAGTCAAGGTTACACATAGAGGTCAAAGTTCAGATAAAAATTTGAAGATGTGTATAGGGACCATTTAGTCATCATTTATTGATGGATTGTAGCACAAATGGTAACTATCATGATTACAGGTGTGACACATTTAATTTAGGTTAATATTTGCAAGGTCAAGGTCACTGGAGATGATTAAATATCCAGATGTTGTCCGGAGCATATTTTCTACATGCATGGAGGAATTTTAATGTTACTTTATAGAATTGTTCACCGCCATGAGACGTAGTGCCCTGCACATGAACCAAGTCTCTAGGTCAAAGGTGAAGGTCACAGTTAGAGCTCATAGAAAAACGCTTGTCTGGAGCAAAACTTCTACATGCATAGAGGGATTTCAATATAATTTGGCACAAATGTTCATCATTGTGAGGCTGAGTGCCGTGCATAAAATTCAGGTCCCTGCGACCAAGGTCAAGGTCACACATCCTGTGCATATCTTCCCTACTGATTTGTTTTAAGGTTCATTTAACAACACAGTGCCAAGAATAAAAACTTGCTTGCTAGATAACACTTATCCATAATGCCCCCATCTCCATCTAAAGCTTTCGTAAACGGGCGTATTTTGTGACTATGGCACCCTTGTTTGTTATAAATTTGCCTGAGTAAACCTTTAACATCAAATTTTACACATTTTTCTCTTCTAAAATATTTATGTAATTGTTAGCAAATATTGTTCGAAATAAATTAATGCATATAGTAAATTAACAAGTTAAACCCTCATCTTGTTTGATACAACATTTGTTATGATATTCATTATATATTTTCAGACTATGGTTCAAGGAATTGATGGATATGTGGGACTCTTTTCAAAATAACCCATCATGGGAGAAGGTACATGTACTGATTAACATTCTTATTCAACAAAGAGTATGATATAATAAAATTCATTTCAAGATATAATCACAGAATGGCACTGTATGTCAGATAGGACTTTAAATGTTTAAGGACACTGATCTAGAAAAATTTGCCCCTCACTGCTGTGGGTTCATATTCAACCAGTGACTAGTTTACAAAAGGTTATAGTTTAAAATAATGCACAGAGGTGCACATGAGGTCTTTCCTCTTCAGTAAAGCATGCAAGTGTTGACTTGACTTTTACATTTGAGCTGCAACTTGATAATTTATCCAAATGAAAAAAAAATGTGAGGATGATCAGAAAATTCAGGGAAACTGTGATTTGTTGATTTACTATATTGTACAGAAATTAAAGTTTGCTGTTAAGTTAAAATTTGACTAGTATTAGCTTTATTATGACAGAAGTTGTATCTTTACATTGCTCATTCTTGGATCCTCATTCTGGGCTAACTAGTGCAGGGTTAAAATAAGGACTCTAGGTCTTTTTCAAAGTTAGGCTTGAACCTATGACCCTTAGGTTGATTTGCAAACACCTGCACCATCAATGATTAAACCATACTTTTATAATTTTGCTATCTCTTTGTAAGGTTAAGTAATTTTATTTATGATATACATTCTTAAAAATTTAAGTGCTTGTCTAGAGTTTACATGTGCTGACAATATCTCAGATTAATATGAAAATTATTTTTATGTCATGAGGTTGCTTCATTGTTTTAGGTTTGTTATTCTTTTGTAGTGAAATTTGAATTTGCTCTGTTCTTTATCTAGAAGTCTGGACTATATTTGTATTTTTATGTATTAATGGATATGTTTACATCATAAATGTTTTAGAGTGGTAATAGACTATATTTGATTTGTTATTTCAGTGCCTTATCAACCTAATGTCACGTCTTGCTAATTCAAACATAGGATATATAGACTGGAGTCCATATATACCAAAGGTATCAACTTTGTTACATCTAAAATATTTTTTGAAAAAAGTATATTTGAGTACATTCTTAACATGCTTCTACAGTTTAGATGTTTTGAAACCTACAAAGATTTTATTGTTGTTTACATATGATAATGAAACAGAAAATTATTTGTAAATGGTTAATGCTCAAAGATCTGGTGTTAAAAATGTTTAAATCAGCTTAAATGGTTCAGTCAGAAGCTGGCCTTGTTTCAGTACTTAGTGCATTAAAGAACAAGTTATGTTTGAACATTAGCATCTTGTATTTGTTTATTTGAGTAAAAACAAGTTATGTTTGATCATTGGCTATTTGTGCGTGTTTATTTGGATAAAAAGTGAACAAATACGTATAACACAACAATGGTAGGCAACTACTTTATTGCTGTTATTGTATACACAGGTGTTCACGCGGCTTTTGCGAAGTTTTGACCTACCCGTCGGAACACAAAATGTTCAGGTCAGCCGTAATCACAACAGGGTGGAGATAGAGCCTTGCGTCATATGGATAGTATCTAGTATGGTAGGTAGTGTGGTTACTTTGATGTGTTTATATATCTAAAATGCAGGTCTTCACTCGGCTGTTGAAGGGTATTGAACTTCCTGTCGGGACACAGCCTATCCGAATTGTACGATCCAAGCTGATAACCAATAGGACTGAGACAACGAGTTTTGTCATTTGGATCATTAACATGATGGTTAGTCTATTATGATAGTTTTAAACTGTGGAAGTGAGCTTTGAATTCCAGTTATTCTTTGGAAAAAAAATATAGGTGCAGATACTGTTTTGTTTTCTTTGATGAGAAAATGGAAATAACTTTTCTGAGATTTTGTTCTTAAGTTGACAAATTTGTGAAAAGAATGGATTTGTGCTGACACTGGCCACAGAATCAAGGACTGACCCATACTGTTGAAATATATGAGTACCTAGTCTGCTAAAGTGTTAAACGCTTGCCCTTTTTAGCTCGACTATTTGATAAGAATGAGTAGAGCTATCCTAAACACCCGAGCGTCTGCGTAACCACTTACTGTAAGTTTTTATAACAACTCAAATATTTTCAAAGTCCATTGACATTTGGCTTTGAAACTTTGCACACTTGTTAACCATTATGCCCCTAACAGGAGACAGAAGGAAGTAATTTATCAAGCATTTTGGCAGAATTATGCCCCTTTGACATAGAATTTACGTTAAAGTTTTTGAAACGTTAAAGTTTTTGTAACACCTCAAATATGTTCAAAGTCCAGTGACATTTGGCTTTGAAACTTCGCACACTTGTTCACCATCATGCCTCCAACCTGTAACCTGTAGACTGGAGAAGGTAACTGTATCAAGCATTTTGAAAGAATTATGGCCCTTTTCAACTTAGATTTCATGTTAAAGTTTGTGTACCACCTCAGATTTTTTCATATTTGATTGACATCTTGCTTTGAAACAAGTTGAAATTTTATACACTTGTTTGAGAGCATAATAGGACTCTCTCCAAGGCCTATAACTGTAACATGGATTTGAAAAAAAAATGGCCCTTTTGTGATATTAGAAAATTTTATATTATCTAGGCTGTTTTCCTATCAAGCACTAAGAGTAGTCGAGTGTGCTTTCCTACTGACAGCTCTTGTTATATAAGGAAAAGTAGATTAGTACTTAATGGTATTTTGATATTCAAAGTACCATAACTGATCTGCCATTTGACTGTGTCTGTACAAACTGTACATATGTGTAGACTAGTTTATGTTGGTGTGGCATAGTTATGCTTTTATTACCACAAGAACTTTTTTATGCTTCAACAGGGAGATAACCAAGATGAAATGTTGCTGTTATTTATTCTTGAAACACTTGTTTTATAGCAACCATGTCCTCGTGGTTTCTTTGCAGTGCTCAGCATTGGGTGAAATTTAAACATTTACAAAAAATTGTATATGCGGGAGCCTTAGTGTGATCTTAGTTAAAAAGGAAACATATTTTCTTTGTGTGTATTCAAAAGATGTTTATTTTACATTTCAAAAGAGACTGTGTAGTAATAACAGTTTTATCAGTTATTAAATTTGAGCATAATATACCTTTAATAGATTTATCACACATGGCCAGAAAGTCTGATTTTGACTCAGAGATTTTTTGAAATCAAAGGTGCCATAAATAGCTTCATTAGGAATTTGTTTATGTAATAATTTATTTGCAGGGAGGAGAGGGAAATAAAGTACAAGATCACATAGATATGTTATTCAAAACCTTACAGAATTTCTACCATCCATCTAACCTAGGAAAATGGAATGTAAGTTACCTATTCACATTTATGTCAAGCTACTTATGACTGTGTCTATATATTTAAATGATGTGGAGGGGGCTATAATGGTAGAACTTTGTCACATTCAGTTGGTCAGCCAGTCAGTTTGTTAATGCGTTAGGGCTTTAATTTTTTCTTCATATATATTGTATAATTTACAGTTATAACTGGAAAATCATGGTGACAAGTAGTTAATCACTACGTCATTTAATTTGCATCTGCATATAAGAGCTATGTAAAGAAATGATTTCATTATCAATATTAAATATTAGTTTGGTTAAAGACCAGTTGATGTAATAAGAAATTGTGTTCTACTGACATTTTGTCATAGCACTATTTTCGTCCATTAGTAGTTAGAATAAGAATATGTAAGAGCATGTAACTTACAAAATAGAAAGAAGTGTGATTATTAAATCAAGGCAAACTTTTATGAACTGAAAATCTTATACCCTCATTCACAAAGGCTAATAGTTTCAAACCAGGAAATATAAAACCACCTTTTAATAATTAATATCAATTTTTTAAGAAAATACATGTGTTAATAGTAGACATATTTTAATAATCATTTTATGATTTGTTATTACAAATTTTAATGTTTTTGTTCACAGATTAAGTTAAGTGGTCTGTTGATGACATTTCCAAAAGTCTTTATACGAAGAATAAATAGGTAAGTTATAAAATCAATTAATACATAACTAGAAGAAAAAGATTTATGCTAAAAATGTAGAGAAGATTTATATTGAGGAATGGAAAAATAATGTTGATTTGTATGGAAAAAATAGAGAATATAGTGTTGATTTGTATGGAATAAGTAGGGAATATAATAATGATTTGTATGGAAAAAGCAGGGAATATAATGTGTGTTCATATTGAAAAAGTCGAGAAGATTATGTTGGTTTATGGAAAAAGTGTAAAAAATTAGTTTCTATATGAAAAACAGTAGAGAATGCTTTGTTCATCTACATGTATGCATAAAAAAATAAAAAGGTAATTGTCAGAATTCAAATAACTAACATGTATAATATGTAATGTATTATTATCATATTATAATTATTATTATTATTGTTATTTTTATTATTATTATTATTATTATTATTATTATGATCATGTTAACAGAGAAAGGTACAGGAAACCAACCTGGATGAAGGAGATACCAGCTTCTCATAAATTGTCAGATGCTGCGATAACAAAGTTTGTTGAGAGCATGAAGAGTACAGTATTTACGTGTATGTTTAGCAAGTACGGTAGTCAGGACTCGGCTGTTGCTCTCCGCCATTTGTCTACTTTGAGACCCGAACTTATAGTTCCTACGCTACTAGAATTGTAAGTCTAGTCTTCATGTGTGATAAGTATGTACTTTTATAATTACAAGAAAGATATTCCGATATTTGTAATTTGTAAACTTTATCAGTAACAAATGATGTAAAATCTTTCATTAAGATATTTTAACTATTTGCCTTCCCCAAAGCATCTTTATTACCCCAAAAACATATATTCTTTTACAATGGAACAAAAAACATTTATAATTTCCATAAAGTTTACAACTTTAAATGATTTTGGATTTGGAATATAATCTCATTTAATGAAGCCTTATTTGATTTGCCATTTGACCTTAACATAATAGCTAATTTTAGCTTAATTTTGATGGAAGCATTTTTGAACCACTCTTGGATGAAACATGTATGTGTCTCCATTAGGACCTGAATCCATGAAATCATTGAGAGGGAGACAACACTTGTCAACCTTTCCTGTCTTATAATCATTTGGCTACTCTTTCTTACATTGCAAAAAAATTAAGTATTGATTTAGGTCAATCTGTATCTGAATGAAGTTAGAGCTGTTTCTACCCTGTTATATTTAATATATCTAATTATTGATAATTATTTTACAGTATGTATCCTGCCATGGAGACACTAATAGAGCCACATAGACTTATAGCATGTATGAACTGTGTTGTGTCGGTAGTGAGAGCGATGCTGAGTGCTGGAAAATGGTACCCTGAGGGTCGGTCACATCTAATCCCATTGCTCAGTCTGTCACTTCCTGGTATAGATCCAAATGACTTTAAGAAATGCTTGGTAAAAATTTTGTTTATATCATTTCTCATTCTTATAATGTGAGTTTATTTTAATTTGTTAAAATAATATGTTGTGATACAGTGAGGAAATAATAAGGAAAAAATGACAGTACAAGATGATTTATTGGTTCTTAAGTTTAAGTAAGTGAGTAAGAGTAAAATTTTTATAATACAAAACTGTAAAGAATTTTTTAATGTAAAATTTACTATACAAATTCTCAAGCAAAAATTTCTTATCTGACAAGCACTGCTGGCACCAAAGAATTTTTAAAAGGAGAAATGTTATTTTTTTGTAATACAATATGATTGTATACATTTGTAGGTAACATTCCAGATGATATCCACATTTGTGTCTCTAGTACCTATAGTAGATTGTTCAGATGCTGTACATAGCAGAACTGACCTTACTGAGGTATTGTTTACTTATATCTATGAACTCTAACTCTAACAACCCTTACACTCTTAATAACATAAATGGGATTGACCATCCATGAATCTGGACAAAACAATTTATAATTTATATGGAAAATATCAAAATAAGAAATGACTCAACATCAAACATGACCATGATTAGATAGCACAGGTCTGTTCCATCTGATATTGGTCTACACAGGTTGTCGGGTAGAATAAGCTGCTTACAGTCTTACGGTTCAGTATATATTCTATATCAAATTCTCAACTCCGTAAGTATGACCAAACCAGACAAACATAAAAATTTATTTTTAAAATTTCATTTACAGTACCATTCTAATTAAAAATAACCTCATTTATGTCTTTGAGATGTGTTTCATGGATTATTCAGAAGTAAATATCCTGAGTGTGACTCAAGTTTTCCTTTTCCAATGTGTCTGAGGTCAGTTGTAACATACTGTTGTTTGAAGTGATCAATATGGAGATGTTGGCATGTACTTCTTGAGAAACCTAACTGTGTTAAGTTGATGAACATTTTTAGGTAATAACCTGCTAGTATATGACTGAAATACATGTACTGTTCTTGGTTATCATGTTTATTAAGTTATAACAAAAACAAATCACTGGAGGATATTTGTGAAAAAATGAATGCTGTTTCTTATACAGGAGGAACGTGAGCTGTGCTCAGCAACAGCCCAGTTTGAAGACTTTGTTCTACAGTTCGTAGATAGGTAAATAATATGTTTTATTCACAAATCTGAATGATATATGAAAATAATTTCTTTTATTCTCAAGTCTGAGTAATATATGGAAATGATTTCTTTTGTTCACAAGTTTGAGTAATATATAGAAATAATTTATTTTATTCACAAGTCTTAATGAGAACTGAATTAATCGATTCTTGCTGTTTATAGTCTGGTCAAATGTACAGATATGCATGATGACCAGACTACTGGTTACATAGTTGTTATTATCTTCACCATTACACATAGGGTTTAAAATAGATAGCTAAGGAGAAATGTATGAAGCAAATATTCAAAGTGGCAGACTTAAAAGATTAGCCTAACTTAAAATACTTTTTTCCATCAGGATATTTGCACTGATAGAGAATAGTGCCCAGGAACATGTTCATGGTAACCAGGACAAGTTAAACCCAGAACAGATGATAGTAGAGAAAGCCCTAGCTTCCACATTTACCTCAGTGTTACAACAATCTTCTACACCAATCTTCATGGTAAATATTCTACTTTATGTAGACACTTTGTATGATGTAAGCGATACAGCTGAGCAATCCCATGCTTCAAACTGTTGATCGCCTTGTTTAAATTACGATATCATTTTCACATCTCTGCAAGGATGTTTTGATTGCATTTAACAGGTATTTATGAAGATACATGTACATTTCCAAATTTGTGGACTATTGGGATATACAAATCTTTCTAAATAGCAAAATGCAAAATAAAATAGAAATTATATATTTTTTGAGAGTAATTGAAAATCAATTTTACTAACCGATATTCGTTTCTCGGTTAACCGGTTACTCGTTGCCATCCCTAATTAAATTTGATTAACATGCACCATCTCACTGTCCGTTTGAATCCTGCTGAGGAAATATAATAGCTTGACAGTAAGCTAACAGGTGTTTAAGTTGTTCTTTTCAGATCTGAAATAATTCAATATATATACTATATTACATTTACAGTCGGCATTACGTAGGTTACACAACTTTATAACAGGTTCTGTGTATGAGAGTAGAGTTGGAGGAAGATATGCTGGTAACCTTATCAGAGCTGCTCAGCAGGTACGAGGTTCTTCATTACATAAATGATATACCAATGCTTTGATTGAATCAGAATTAAGTTTGCTGGGAAAAAAATTTAAAGTCAAATATTCATGAAAGTTCATTGTCATAAAGGTATAATTTTGATGAAGATTTACAATTTCATGAAAAAAATGCTTCTTTATGTTTTAATTGTAAAAGGAGAAAATTTCCGTAATGTTTTATATTTAGTGAATGATATTGATTACTGTTACTTATAATAATGTTAGATTCTTAGATTAACATAATGAGCCGCGCCATGACAAAATCAATATACTGCGTTTGAGACCAGCATGGATCCAGACCAGCCTGCGCATCCGTGCAGTCTGATCATGATCCATGCTGTTCGCTTACAAATTGTATTACAAGTAGAGAACTGATAACGAACAGCATGGATCTTGATCAAACTGCGCGGATGCACAGGCTTGTCTAGATCCATGCTGGTCGCAAATGCATTGTTAGTCCCCTACCGGTTTAACCGGAGGGGACTTTAGGTTTACCCTCCGTCCGTCTGTCTGTCCATCCGTCTGTCTGTCTGTCAGTCCGTCAGTCCGTCCGTCCACAAAACTGGATCCCGCGATAACGCAAAAAGTACTGAAAATATTTTTATGAAACTTGATATATGGATAGATGGCAGTATGGAGATTATGCACGTCTTTTTCTTTTCTTCCTATGTTGAAAATTCTGGTTGCTATGGCAACAAATAGTCTGAAAATATGGCAAATTTAACACATAAACTGGATCCAGTGATAACTCAAAAAGTACTGAAAATATTTTTATGAAACATAAAATATGGGTAGATGGCAGTCTGCAGATTATGCACATCTTTTTCTTTTCTTCCTATGTTGAAAATTCTGGTTGCTATGGCAACAAATAGCCTGGATTTCAAGATTTCTGATTTAATTTTTTCAGCTTTTTCACTATAAGTTCTTTATTTCTTAAGGTGTTTACTTCAAACATTAAATATAAGTTTCTGGTCATCAACCACATCATATGTGACAAGGTTTACAACTCTAGCACAAAAATTATCAGTATTACCTCCCTTGAACTTAGAATTTTTATGAAAAAAAATGTTGTCTTTTTTAAATTACTTCTTTATTTCCTAATGTATCTACTTCAAACTTCATATATATGTTTCTTATTATCACTCAACATTTTTGAGAAGGTTAAATACTCTAGCAAGACTATTTCCAGATTTATGTCCCCCTTGAACTTAGATTTTTTCGAGAAATTGGTATTTTTTACTCCAACTTCTTCATTCCTTATAGGATTTACTTTAAAATCCCACATCGTAATAATATGACAAGGTTGTATAAACATAATTGCCTTACTAGGCAGGGAAACTTAACACATTACTGTGAAATAGACAAACTTAGAACTCAAAAGATTTAAGTTCATTCATGTCATTCATTCACTGGTAAAATTGAAATCAGAATGTTGCTTGGGTTCTAACCGGTAGGGGACTTATGGATTGCTTGCAATACTATGATAATTGCTTGTTAGTTTTGTCATGGCGTGGCTCAATTATAATGATTAAACTGGTGAACACTTTTGATCTGATAAAGTAAATAAACCATGTCCTTATAAGAAAAATTTGTTTACCATCTAAATTTTTATATTATGTTATACTCCCTGGCGTCCGTCCGCACTACGGAATAGGGGAAGGGGACCATCTAACTGTAAACAGAACAAAAGAGAACAATAGAGTTCATTCCGTAACAATAGAGTAAGGGGCCATTGGCCCTCTATTAAACAATAGAAAATAACAAAAGAAACGGCCCCTTAAAGTTCCATTTGGGCCACAGTGTTCAAACTTCATAGGATGATGGTCCATATTGGGTAGAAGTGCCCTTTTGATTTTGGGGTCACAAGGTCAAAGGTCAAGGTCTTTTTTACTTTAAAACTGAAAACAGTTTTTAGAGCATAACTTAAGTTCCATGTGGCCCACAATATTCAAACTTCATAGGATGTTTGTCCATATTGGGTAGAAGACCCCTATTGATTTTGGGGTCACAAGGTCAAAGGTCAAGGTCACTATTACTTTAAAACTGAAAACAGTTTCCAGAACATAACCTAATTTCTATTTGGCCCATAGTGTTCAAACTTCATAGGATGATTGTCTATATTGGGTAGAACACCCCTATTGATTTCGGGGTACAAGGTCAAAGTTCAAGGTCGCTATTACCTCAAAACCGAAAACAGTTTCAAGAGCATAACTTAAGTTCCATTTGGCCCACAATATTTAAACTTTATAGAATGATTGCTATTTGAAGGAGGTAATACTTTATTTAATTTATGTAATGTCTTACAAATGCTTCATCCTTACTAAAAATAAAACACTTTCGGGCATATAATGCTCCGCCTAGCGGTGCTCTTGTTAAATATTGTAAAGACAATAAATAATTAAAAACTCAAGTGAAAATAATTTATTTTATTATAGTTTTGCGAAAAAAAGTTCTATAGATTGCTAACAATCAAACGTTTCCTAATGGTTTTTCATGTGTATTAGTCTGTATACTTACATGTGTAAAATTATTTTACAGGTAAATCCAAAGGAAACTTTGAAGATGTTCATGGACAATATATGTGACAGTCTCCTAGTGCAATTAAAATCACGTAAATATATTTTACATTGTGTAAGAATAATAATCGAATCCTTTACGTAGATACAAGTTTCCTTATAACTCATATACAGTTAAATAAATATTTCTGAGTTCCCAGAGATACAATAAATGAATAATAAAATAAATAATATAGCTTTGACATTGGCTAATTGGAGGAAAATTTGACGTTTTATGTGTATAAAGATTAGTATTTATACTCAGAAGGCTGAAAATTCTTTTCATTAAATATTTATGATACAACCATTTTTAAAATTGCTGTTGATTTCAGCATATTGGCCTGACATAGTTGTTTTGAAATGTCCATGTCAATTTTATATTTAGATGAGGAGGTTCTACAAGCAGAGAGACTTGATGATGGATTCTTGTGGAATCTTTTGATGTTTTCACAGGTAAATTTTTGTCCATGATTGCTAGTCATATTTCACTGTGATAATGTAAACTTTTTTATTTTATTTTGAAAGTATGTATCTGTTTAATTAGCTTATGATTGCACACAAGCAACATGGTTGCAATATTAGGACTTTTTTTCAAAGATAAAACCTTTGATTTATAACAAGTATCTTCATACAATAGTTAACTTAGTTGTTATTAGTAAAACCACCAATTAAGTGATTTGAATGAATGAGTGGGGAATAACTTTCAGATGTACATTCATTAGAATTGCAGTTATTGCCAGATTCTTTGTATAGTTTTTAAGGGGTAATTATCAGGGGTAAACAGAGAATCTGATCTTTAGATAGACATTGTATCATAGTTGACCATTTTGTTAAAAATGTGTCAGAGTTTATCGTATACACATACATGCACAGTGTGTAAATGGAGTGAAGGTATTAGTTACCTGCACTCCAGAGCATGCCCATTGATTGGCTCTTTTTTTTTCTGGGGTTCACTTTTTGTGACGACAGAGAAAGAAATAATGATAGAGTGTCACATTTGGATGATCGTTCATTGGTTACTTTTTTCTGGGGTTTCATATTGTGACAACAGGGAACCTGATTTTAGTTTTGCCTATGATACAAAAGAGAAAGAACATCAAAACACTCGGCAAACGGATTTATACTCTGGGGCTATGCCCCCTCGTACAGATCAGATAACCTTGTGTTTCAATGCTCTTTCTATTACTTATAGTTTGTCAATATAATCAGTGTATCACTATTATAATAATCATTCTTTTTAAATAAATAATCAGCTTGAATGAACAGCAGAAATTGTTTCAACTATCATTGTAATCTTTCCTATTTCAGTTGCTAAGATGTAACGGGTCCTATTTATTACCATATAAGACTAAGATAGTTGATGTGTTCACATATATACTGAGACTACAGTGTGTACAGGGATATGAGATAGCGGGCAAGTCACTGATGTATTTACTACGCGGTCTTACTCTAGTCTTTCCAGTAAATTATGCTAGTGTTAGTGGATCTCTTGATAGACCTGTCACAGAATATCTTGCCATAAGGGTAAGTAAATGCCTTTATATTTTTTATAGTTAAAAAATATGTGTTTCTGATATTGTACATACAGGGTTAATGGTTACGATGTTATTTGAATCCTTATTGTATGTTGTTATCTACATGGAAAAGCATAGCAATTAGCTTTGTCATGTTAGGTTTGCCAGCTTGTGTCTAGAGTAATATATGAAGGGCACCTTATGTATTTCTCTTTATAAAGCTGTTAAGATGCCAATTTAACCTTAAAAGAGTTATTTTGTTTGAAGCTTCAACAAAATGGGCAACAAAAACTCCGAATAACCTTATTCAAGCTTCTGTAAAGAAATAGAGATGGGAATGTTACAGTTCTCATACTAAACAAAAGTTTTCTCCTGTTTTTTTACTCCACATAAGTGTATTGTTCTGGTTTTTGTCATGCAGCGTTTAATTATGTTTTATCCATTTTATGATAGGAATGGGCAAAGCCAGGAGATATAGACAACCTTGGTCTAGAATGGCATGAACCGTGTCAGGAAGAAACGGATTTTGTACAAGAATTGCTAGAGAAATTCTTAGTACCTGAACTAAACACTCTTAAACAAATATCAGCTGAGAATGCCATACCGAGGTATGTAGTGTTATAAGAATCGGTCCTTTATTTTAATGATTTGTTGAACTAGTTTCTAGTTGTTAATAAATAATTTGAAAAAAGGGAGATGTGGCTGAGAAGTTTAGATGTCCACCATAGTAGGTTCGAGTTAATAATTAAGTCACAACTACAGTCCAACCTCGATTATTTTCGAATAGCTGGGGACTGAATTTTTACTTTTTATAATCGATGGGTCCGAATAATAGAAATACGAATATAGTGACAGTAGACAACTATTCAACTTTGGCCATACGCCAATCATAGCAAATTATAATCGGCACCGAAATTTTACTTCGAAAAATTAAATAGGAGGTAGTCGGATAATGCATTTCGAATATTTCATTTGTATTTATATTGATTAATATAGAGATAAAAACAGGACTGCCAATCTACTTCAGATAATGCCGGGTATTCGAATAAAAAGGGTTGTCAAATAACCGAGGTCGGACTGTATGTTTCTAAGGTGAAAGAACTTATTACACAGTTACACTTAAAGGCACATTACACCTTGGGGATGAATAAAAGCTGTGTTAATTTAAAAAAAAAGCCAAAATGTGTTTTGTAATGGTGTTATAATGGATCTAGAATATGCTCTAAGCCTATCTTAATAATGTTGAATATAAAATAATTTGTGCTAAATGTGGCAAATTGTAAATGCACCTTCTGGTAACTGTAACAGCACATGAAAAATTTATAGCCATTGAAAAATAAAAATGAGAGAATTTATATTCTTTTTGGGCCTTTAAATAACTATGTTTACATGATTGAGCATGAATTAAACTAACAACAAATGTTAGATATAGATTAACAAATAAAGTAAAGTGATTTATCTTCCAAAGGTGAGGAATACATTGTACATTGAAACAGGTAGGCATAAATGTTTTGCTATTGGATTTTAGCCATGGAATCTGTGCAGACAGTGAAAGTTTTACAACAAATGAAAGTTAAACTTAAAAAAGTCATGTTTATTTTTATCCCTTGTAAATAATTTTTTTTTTTTTCCGTTTTTGAATATAATGATTTCACGGGTTTTTTTCAGGGAGGATTTATTAAGACGTCTCAACATTATAATGGAATGTTTGAATGGAGCAGGAGGTGTGTTACCTATGTGGCAAGGAGATCACATCTCTATGTAAGGCTAGAAATTTCTCCAATTCTTTCATCACAGGATGTTATCAAAACTTTTCAGTATGTAAAGTGTAATGTGAAAGTGCAAAAAAGAAAGGAAAAAAAAAAAACAGCTGCCAAACTTTATATATTACAAGTTTGCAGATACTTGTTTGTTTTACCAAGTTACACTTCTTGTTTAAAATATTATGTAATAGGCATTTCTTGGATTAGAAATATTTGCTCACTTCCAACCTAACCACACTGCAACTGGAAAGCAGCCATGTGACTGTAATAGTATTGTTGGCATGAGTGTAATTTCTAGCTAAAATCACGAAAAAAATTGAACACCTTCACACTGAAATATAGTAGTTGCCCCTAGATCAAGGTATCCAAAGAATTAAACCAAAAATTCAGTTGCACATTAAGAAACTCACAAGAACTTATTTTTCAGGTCATTTAACCAGCAGACATGAATAATACAATGTTAACTTAAAAATTAATGATAACTTTCTTTATAACATGATGGATAATAATTATACCAAATTGAATACATCAGGCAGACACATCATTTATCATTTGACCTACAAGTGCATCTTGTTAAAAGTTTCAAGAAAAACTACAAAATGAATTTCCACATGGTTATTATGATATCTCCCTTTGTTGGTTAGTAAACAGTTAAGACCAATATCTCTGGACTGAGAACTTTGTGAGTTTTTTTTTAAATAAAAAATGAAATTTATATGAATGGCAAGAATTGTTTATGTTTTATTAATTTTTTCAAGTGTTGATGTTTTATATTAAAGGATTGAGAGTCAGGTTCCTCTTAAAAGATTTGGTTGTGCAAAATCTTGCGGAAGTAACAGAGGTATTTAGACATTTTTCATTTAACTCTTACTGAAATGTGATGTGTATTGTTTTCATTAACTTGTAACTGTGTGTTGTATTCAGTAGATATAAGATTTTTGTTAGAAAAAATAATAGAACAAATTCAGCATTTTTATTAAGGAAGTGCCAATCTTTGATGAAGTTTGATGAAACCACTTACAATATTTGATATTGAAAAATAATTATGGCTTAGCTTATGTGATGTTATAGCAAAATGTTGTTTAATTTTAAGTTTCTATCTGTTGGATTTAAGGCAGTATAAGATATAGAATGTATTCATATATTGTCTATTGATTTTATTACAGAGGTAACAGTATCAGGTGGACAGAATGTAAGGGTGGTTGTTATCGAGGCTATCAGAAAATTGCTCAGTGAGTTTAACCTCTTACATGTGAATTTTCGTAAAACTTCTGTGTATATTTAAAACCATTTAACACTTAAAAACTTATGTGTAGAAAAATTCAAGGAAATTTAGTTTCCGGTTTCTTGAATGTCATGATATGAGATTATTTTACACACCAAAAACAATTAAAAGAAAAAAAATTGCCTATAACATTATTAAAGTCCAGCTTGTTCTTATTAAAGGCAAGTTTTTTAAGGAATATCAGGTTTGATTTTGTAAAAGACTTTAATGTGTCATGGTCACATTTTGTGTTGAGTCGTTAATCAATCAGTTTATTGTTTCAGGATATATGCTGTCATGTGCAGAGGATGATACAAAAAGTTTTCACAGACTTTTAAGGGTATGTAGATATAACAATTTTTAAATTTGCTTCCTACAATATTTCTAAATGGGTATTTGTGCTTTAGTCAGTTCATCCGTCACACTTGTTGTTTCTCACGTTTTTCATTTGTACACTTATTATGTGTGATCTTTATTTTTGATAGTGTCTTTATATAGACTTCTCCATTTGGGTAAGGGTCAAATTCATTAGAGTTTAGGAAGCTAAGGCATGAAAATGAATTTCTTATGATATTTCTATTGGCCTCTCTCTAAACATCACAGGTAATGATTATTTGAGAGCAGAGAAAAAAATTGTCTTGAAAGTTGTTGTTAAATTAAATCCAAAATAAAAATAAAACACTCATCAAGTAGTTATGAAGAACATGATTTTAGGGATTTTTCAATATAAACTAATAAAACTTGTTTATATTTTACAGATATATGAATCAGTGCTGTTTTTCCATGGTATACCAGAAGGGGAGTTTGATGCTAGATGGAAAAGTTTCCATGCCGTCAAGAAAGCTCTAGAAGATAAGGTTTGTGCTGTGTATTTGAAACATTATTTGCAACAATGGACATAAAAAAAGCGAATTAAAGAGCTCATCCATAGGATATAGAATTTTCAAATAACTTTCAATCGTCTCTTTTTCACTTTTGATGAAGACAAGAGCTGATACTCATTCTCTGTTGCTAATTCAAGTTGTATTTTAGCAGAAGAGATGGTAACTGGTACAGAATTAAGAAACAGTTAATGAATACAATGTACTTGTAAATGTTTTTCACTATTTATAAACTTATAATAAAAGTTTTCTTGCCACAAATATTGACAATACTTGTTAAATTAATGTATAATTGTGAAAAATAGATTTATCTTACTATCAGTGTGGAGCTATCGATAATAGATTTTAAGATCAAAAATTTAACTTTATCAATTACATGTACTGTAATATAGCCATATTATATCAAACATACATGCAGGTTGGCCTAACCAAGTATTGGTGCCATAGGAAAGTCAATACTGGTGCTAAGAGTTAAATTGTGAACCTGAAAACATTATCTTTGTTTTGTTCAATTACAGCTAAGAGGTGGTAAGAATCATCTGCGAGCCATTCTAGTAGACAGGGTTCTCTTACAACATCAGGTAAGCTAGATAGTATAGTACAAGAAGGTTAGTTTTGATTACATGTAGTATTTGATTAAAATTGCAAAACATGTAAACAAATACACATTTTGAATGTTATTAAAACATGTTTACCCAAAAGTTAATATAAAATTTGAATAAAGCTTTTTTTGTGACTGTTAATAAGTATTGATTGAAAATGCCTGTCAGAATAATATGTTTATTACAAAATAATATAAGAGTTTAATAATTATCCAAATGGACATAAAGTTGGGTGTAAAAGAACCACCAATTGCTCAACCAGAGTTGTATATTTATAGATGAGATGTCTACAGAAGACAGACAGGTCTTTTACAGCCAGACATCAGGAATTGCTTCAAGATCTATATACATTGTCTATTAGTAGATACAGTGAGGTATGTATCTTGTGATAGTTTACTTAAATTTTGTTTTTGATAGAAATGTGAAACTTGTTTTGGTAATTTTCAAGATATCATCATTAGACAGTCAAAACAGTTCTGTGTCTAATTGGGCTTAATTTACACTTCACTCACAATACAGTTAAAATATGAAAGGTGGTCAAAATATGAAAAAGAGGTCAAAATATGAAGAAGAGGTCAAAATATGAAGAAGAAGAAGAAGAAAAAAAAACCTTACTGCATTAGTCACAAAATAGATATATGGTGATAAATACTGAAAAATGAGTCATTAATGCTCATAAAATGCAAATTATAAACAGAATCTTGAATGAATCTTTTTATTTTTCTTGAAATCTTAGTTCATCAAGTTTGATTTTCTTGAAATAATTTGGTTCACCTGGTGGCCTGCAGCTTTAATGACGGATTATTTTGTTGATATTTCAGGTTAGAAAAAAAGCTCAGTCTGTGCTGTTTCAGCATTTCCATAACTATCCATATTCCTACAGAACTCTAGTAGATCCTTTAGTTAGCAAAGTGCTCAGCCCTGATACCCCGGAACATGAATTTCAGGTAATGTATAACAAACTGTCGACAGCATTTTACATACCTGATTGGCTTGTATTTTGTCAAAATGTAGCTATTACTATAAAGAGGGTAATTGTCAGCAACTAAACTTAATTATCAATTGTACAAATATATTATAAGTGGCAGAAATGTAATTATTGGTAGAAACTTTGTAATTATCAATAGCAAGCATGTAATAATCAATTGAAAATTTGTTATTATCACCATGTCAAAATTTGTAATTATCAATGGCAAAAATGTATTGTCCTTGGTAAAAATGTAATTACCAGTATAAATTTTTTCAGAATTGAATTTGCGAAACACAAAAATTTATTAATCAATAGATTAATTTGTAGTTAATGTAATTTTTATTTGTATTTCTGTACAAAGCAACAGTTGTCTTAAAACAAGAAATTTCAGTTGTAATGCTTTTGTCTAAATTGTTTACATTACATTGATTTTATTTATGCTTATTTCAGGGAGCCTTGTATGTGGTACTTGGTAACAATAAGCGTAACATAGCAACCAAGCGTAGCTGGGAGATAATCAGTAAAGTGTGGCCAGCTATAACCCAGGCTCAGCATTCAGAGAAACCTTCCATACTCAACCTGATTGATCAAATTGTTAGCAAAACTGTCAAAAATGCAGAAACCACAGAAATAAAAATCTTGGTCAGGCAACATTTTATATCTTCTAACACATAAACTTTTAAAAATGTAAATTTAAAGACACATTATGCCTCAGAAATTCATATTTCTGTAATTCTTTAGAAATGCCAAACATGTTAAGAGCAAATTAGATGTTTAACAACTGAGGAAAACAGCACTGAATTTGCAGTAATGTGTCGTGAAGGTAGCAAAATGTAACCAAAGTAGTATTTTGACTTTCATACAATAAGTAACTATAATTATATTCATTGCCAACAGAGTTAAAGGCAGTAAAAGACAGTTCATGTATGAATATTGTTTTGGAACTATAACATTATACCTAAAGTAAAAAAAAAAAGAGAAATAAAAATGATTTTTTAAGGCATAATGGGCCTTTAAAAGACCTATATTGTCCACCATGTCTTGAAGAAAATGTATGAAGTAGAATATAGCCATCCAGTCCTTGTAACTGGTGTATTAAACACAAGTTCTATAGATAGATTGATAAGAAATAGTAATTTATACTGATGTGGTAATTAAGATATTTATAAAATGTATGTTTTCCACAGGAAGCTACATTGTTACTAAGTAAAGAAATAATTCTCATTAATCAATGTTGGTTGATTTTCATGCTTTTTAAGGTCAGCTCATATCATTATAATGTTAATTTTCCCAATTTTAAAGGGTTAAAAAAGATTTTGCCTTTTTATACCCATTTATATTCAATACTTTCCCCAATTGTGTAAAAACCCTAATTTTATTAGAAAAGCCTAAAAAAGTATTTTTTTTTGTTTTTATCATGAATTTAAAATAATGGGTTTATATAAATTTTTTTTTTTTTAATATAATAATTTTTTTTAAAGGTTTTATTGTTTTTTATTATAGGTTTAAAAGAGGGGAAGTTTAGCAGCAGCTGGTAAATTGTTCGAGTCTCAGCACCCACCACCATCTCAGGGTACTTGTTCTAGTATAGAATTACAGGCTGCAATACAACACGAGTCTAGCACCAATGATAACTGTCAAAAGTATGTATAACAACTTAACAAATTTACTTCTATTTTGATTTCATTTCTTTATCTTTTTTCTTAAAAAATTTCTGTATCAACATTTTTCATCATTGATCTTTTATTGGTTTAATCACAATTCAAATGCAGTATTCTACTAGAAACTGTTCAAAATGATTTATGATTTTAAGATATTTTGAAAAAGATACATGTATGTTTTTCGTTGTAGTTTTATATGCTAAGTTTGTGTAACATATTGGGACAAAGTCCAGAGCAAATTGCCATGTACTGAAGATTTTGCAATGAGATGCCAAGTTTATATTTGTTTAAATATTTACAGAATGTATGTTGACTTAGTAACCAAACTCACTGGCTTAGTCACTGGAGGAAACTTGTAAGTGTTCTTCATTTAGATTAATTTGTATATTATGTGTAGAAATATCTTCTAAAAAGGAATGTATTTGTCCGGATGTGGTATACTACACATGGCTTTGATCTTAATAGATTTTATTGCTTCTTCTTTTTTTACATACATTTTAAATAATCATTTAACTGCTAATAAATATATGACCTTTTATTAAGTTTAAATTGTTAGTGAGTTCTTAATCAAAGGCAATTCTTAAAAAAAAATGTTACTTTTTTGTATCAAAATTAAAGGTATTGATAATGTTTTATTAAATGGCTTAACTACATTCCTGTGGGTTATGTGATAAAAGACTATCAATTCCTGTACAGGGTTTAACAGATCAAATGATTTCTTATAATTTGTTATTTTGTTACATACAGGAGATGGAAGTTTTGTCAGATAGGTATGGAGTTTATGACATTACTAATCAGACATGATACACCATTACCTACATGTGCTGTAGAATTGTTTGTCCAGAAATGTGTTGATGATTCCATATATCTGAGAAAGGTAAGTCTGTGACTGTATTATTTGACATCTTAAATTTTGAGAAATTTTTACACATTATTTGACACCTTAGATTTTGAGAAATTTTCACATGTTTTCTAGCCAATGATGAATAGTGCCAATCAACTTATATGATGGGTTTTGAGTACAGAATTGTGTATTCTAACGGACTTTCTATGTGTCCCTATGTATGAAAACATGTCTTGATTGCAATCATTTTAATTGCTGTTGTAGTATCAGGAAATATATATTATTAATTAGTTTGGTTGTGGATCTTCAGAGACCCAATGTAGGGTTATAATCACACAGGATATATTTACTATAAGCTGGTTAAGTTATTGCCCCTTCCTTATGTTATGCCTTTTGTAGGTCACTTTTAAATGTTAGTGGCTTGAAATTTTGTTATTAAACTGATACTGGTACAAGAGTTGAAGTCCTGATGTCTTAATTCTTTTTCTCCGCAAGTCCCTTCAACCTTGACTTACTAAAGTTCTACTGTACTTTATACCTCAAAGTATGATGAAGTTTTACTGTTAACTTACAGTTAATTTGAAGCGTATTCAATGTTGTTAGCTATTTACAGCACCCCAAAATTTATTTTTAACACTTTATATATTTACTTCTTAAATAAAAATGTAGAAATCGGATTAAAACATTGTTGTACCCATTTATACCTGAACTTTCAATTATTTTCAGATAAGCACCTCTGCCCTATTAGGTATTCAAAAGCAACATAAAAGACCCCACAAGAAGATAAAGATTGACCCTACAAAACAAGGAGTTGATACAGGTGTTACAGCCCCTGGCCACACTCTGTCTCCTGGAGATAGACCTGATAATAGATGGCATAAATATAACTCACAGAATTTACCTGACACTCAGGACAAGTGGGAAAAACTTGTGGTTATAGAGAAGACACACTGGGGATATTATACCTGGCCTAAGTGAGTTTTGCTTTTGTTCTTTATTGTTATTTGTCAAAATAAATTTTAAAATTATAAAAGTTTATCTATAAGCAAAGTAGTGTTAGAGTAGTCATCTACTGACTGACTTTTTATAAAATCAGTTCCCAGATATGGCTTTCGGATTTTCTTGTGCAAATGTGTAACTATGATGCCTGAACTAACATGTATCTAAACCAAACAATTAATGTTTAAGATATGGTGTTCCTGTAATGAATTTATGTCATTTAGAGTATATGAAGATGTTTATCAGGCAGTTTCCATAAAAATCTGGAAAGAAGGTGACCCCTGGGAAGAATTAATCACAACAAAGTTACATCGTATGACAGTGTTTCTTTAATCCCTGTATTTTTTTACCATGTACAAGAACAGAGTTCGTAAATGAGCCGCGTCACGACAAAACCAACATAGTGGGTTTGCGACCAGCATGGATCCAGACCAGCCTGCACATCCGCGCAGTCTGATCAGGATCCATGCTGTTCGCTGTCAGTTTCTCCACTTGTAATAGAGTTGGTAAGCGAACAGCATGGATCCTGATCAGACTGTGGGGATGCGCAGGCTGGTCTGGATCCATGCTGGTCGCAAACACACTATGTTGGTTTTGTCGTGATGCGGCTCAAATGTAGTCTGATTGCTATTTACAATTATCTTTTGCAGAGAAATGGAAACATATGCTCCACATAGTGAGCAGCCAAAGTTAAATAGAAGCACAGATGAGCTGACAGAGGGGGAGAAAGTTGTGTATAATGCCTTCAGCAACAAAGAGTATGTACAGAAACTTGTAGACTTCCTTGCACTGGAGGAAAACAAGAACAAAGACAAATTTAGTCAGAAGAAAATGACATTGTTTAAGGTATATTTCATTGGTACATTTTCTCTAAGTTCAAGCTACATTTTAAGATGTATAATGCCTTCAGCAACAAAGAGTATGTACAGAAACTTGTAGACTTCCTTGCACTGGAGGAAAACAAGAACAAAGACAAATTTAGTCAGAAGAAAATGACATTGTTTAAGGTACATTTCATTGGTACATTTTCTCTAAGTTCAAGCTACATTTTAAGATGTATAATGCCTTCAGCAACAAAGAGTATGTACAGAAACTTGTAGACTTCCTTGCACTGGAGGAAAACAAGAACAAAGACAAATTTAGTCAGAAGAAAATGACATTGTTTAAGGTACATTTCATTGGTACATTTTCTCTAAGTTCAAGCTACATTTTAAGATGTATAATGCCTTCAGCAACAAAGAGTATGTACAGAAACTTGTAGACTTCCTTGCACTGGAGGAAAACAAGAACAAAGACAAATTTAGTCAGAAGAAAATGACATTGTTTAAGGTACATTTCATTGGTACATTTTCTCTAAGTTCAAGCTACATTTTAAGATGATTTTTTTTTTCCTATCAAAATTCATTGTTATTTCTTATTATGTGAATTATAAGTGATTAAAAAGAATTAAAACATGCCTACTCATAGTGGTTTAGGTAGAAACAATAGCATAAAATTTGCACTAAAAGCTACTCTCACAAACATGGTGGTTTGAACATTTCTGAAGTAAAATTAAACCACATGTTCATATATTGACGTGACACTAGATGATAGAGGCTCGGCTTTTTCCCACGAATACCAGCTTCTCAAAATTTTGGCTCTTTTATTAGCTCACCAGAACTGAAAGTTCAGGTTGAGCTATTAGTATCAAAGGGGGCTGCTCCGGCACCTGTAGACCGGCACCTGTCATGTGTTAATATTCATCTTTTTCTCTAAAACTGCTTGGCAGATTTACTTCAAATTTGACCTTTTGTGAAAGGTTTCTTTTTTATTTTGAAAAATAAATAAATTAGTGTCGTGAAACTATATAACTTGAGGGGCCAGTTGAATTTGAGTTGGACTTGCCTTTCTTACACTGAAAAACAGTTGTTTCTGGTGAGCAATTTAGGGCAATCATGGCCCTCTTTTTATGCCCCCCTTCGAAGAAGAGGGGGTATATTGTTTTGCTAATGTCGGTCTGTCTGTCTGTCTGTCTGTCGGTCTGTCCGTCGGTAGACCACATGGTTTCCGCTGATTATCTTGAAAAGTATGTATCACAAAGTCTTCATATTTCGCATAGTGATTGGTTATAACTACTAAATGTCCCCTATTGATTTTGGGGTCACTAGGTCAAAGGTCAAGGTCACAGGGACCTTAAAATGTCAAAATGGTTTCTGCTGATTATCTTGAAAAGTATTTATCACAAAGTCTTCATATTTCACATAGTGATTGGTCATAACAAGTAGATGACCCCTATTAATTTTGGGGTCACTAGGTCAAAGGTCAAGGTCACAGGGACCTTAAATGTCAAAATAATTTCCACTGATTATCTTGAAAAGTATATATTACAAAGTCTTCATATTTCACACAAAGATTGGTCATCACTAGTAGATGACCCCTTTTGATTTTGGGTGTCACTAGGTCAAAGGTCAAGGTCACAGGGCCTTAAATATCAAATGGTTTTTTTCCGCTGATAATCTTGAAAAGTATGTATCACAAAAGTCTTCATATTTCACATAGTGATTGGTCATCACAAGTAGATTACCCCTATTGATTTTGGGGTCACTAGGTCAAAGGTCAAGGTCACATGGGCCTTAAATGTCAAAATGGTTTCCGCTGATTATCTTGAAAAGTATGTTTCACAAAGTCTTCATATTTCACATAATGACCCCTATTGATTTTGGGGTCAATAGGTCAAAGGTCAAGGTCACAGGGGTCTTAAATGTCAAAATGGTTTCCGCTGATTATCTTGAAAAGTGTGTATCACAAAGTCTTCATATTTCACATAGTGATTGGTCATAACTAGTAGATGACCCCTATTGATTTTGGGGTCACTAGCTCAAAGGTCAAGGTCACAGGGGCCTTTAATGTCAAAATGGCTTTTGTTGATTTTTCCATAATTGAACACTTCCATGTACCCATTTTTGGCAAGTTTCTGTAATAAAATTACCAATTATGTGAGTCAATGGCTAGAAAGGGGGGTATATGTGTCGTTCGACATTCTTGTTCTTCTTTAATTTTAAAAAATTGCACAATTTTATTTTGTAAACATTGATTTAAAATCAAAACTGTATAAAAATTTATCCTGCTGGAACTGAAAGTGACTGGTCTTTACAAACAGTTAAGATTCAGGCAAGTCTGCACTACCATGCTGTCAGACCAGGCTCTATACTGTTATCTTGATGACTTTTAATTTTCACCTTAACATATGGCCTTCGTTGTCAATTCCTACGCATCAAAACTCCAGACTGGTGTTAAATAGCTGATAAACACCGCTAAGACCGATATTATTTCTTAATTCCAGATTTAAAGCACATTAGTCCCGAGAAACAAATAAACTTTTCACTCTTTAGAAATACAAAAAATGAGTTTTAAAATATTTAAACAATGCTTTTAAAGCATGTAGGATTTTTATCACTTGAAGAAAGAAGGGCTGAATGTGATATTATTTGTCAAAAAAGTATCAAACTGTAAACAGAGTAGTATTTTGACTTCCATACAAAATACAAATTCACTATAAATGTACTTATTGCCAAATAAAAATAGAAGCAAAAGAAGGTTCAGGTATTTGGCCAATAAGTAACTTTTTGAAAACTTTTTTAACAAAAAATAAAAAAGCTTTTGAAAAATAAGAATAAAAGCATTATGAAGGACATTTTGGGGCCTTTAACAAAGTAGTGGTAAGTTACTAGTATTACAATGTCTGTCATATATCATTCTTTATTTAAGAAATAATATATCCCAAACTGTGATTTTATTGCTCAATAACATCACTGTTTGAAGTTCTGATGCGAGGAAGTATATCACGAGGGCGTAGCCCAAGTGATATAATGATGCGCATCCTAACGACAAACAGTGATTTTATCAGGCAATAAACTCACCGATTTGGATATATTATTTCGATTCTAACACGACATCAACAAATCAATGCTGCCGTGCCTGATATTAAGCTTAATTGCGCCTGATTTGTTTCCATACTTATTGTCAACGCGTCGCATTTAAGTTGTTACGTCACGTGTATAATGATTACGTCACATGTCTAAATATAGAACGTCAAACAGTGACTTTATAGCATAATAACACACTTTTTTGGTTCTTCTATGTTTAATAGGGAAAACTGTGGGTCGTGTTAGAATAAGTGATAAAACAGTTTTATTTATTTATTTACAGGGATTGTTCCGTAACTATGGTGACTGTTTGTTAGAGAATTTTAAAGCACATGTAGAGAGATTAGTGAGTGATACCAGTCATGATAAACACGACTCCAGTCAACGATGTGCCATGGAAATACTAGCGGGGATATTGAGGGGGTCAAAACACTGGCCATATCAACAGGTTACATTATATATACATACATGTGTCCATTATGATGTATTTTAGGACAAATATTTTATCAAATAAAGTTTGAAAAAATAAAGTAACTAAAGAAATGAGGCTTAAATTGTGGGGCATTAATTGTAGTAAATAACTTATAAGCCGATTTTAAAATTTATGCTTATATTACTGAAAAATAAAAGTGAATAATTAAATATATTATTCTACTGATAACTATTATTTTTATGCCCCCACAATGTGGGAGCATATAGCGTTGCACTTGTCCGTCCGTCCGTCAGTGCGTCAGTCCGTCCGTCCGTCAGTCCGTCCGTCCGTACGTCCCGAAATCTTGTGAACGCAACTCCTCTTAAACCGGATGGCAGATTTTGCTTAAACTTACAGGGATGAACAACCTTAATGTGTAGATGGTAGTAAAGGAAGGAATTTTTGCTGCGACCAAATTTAACAGAATTATGGCCCTTTGTTCATTTTTTCACAAGATACTATGTAGAAATTTTGTGAACGCAACTCCTCTTAAACTGGATGGCAGAATTTGCTTAAACTTACAGGGATGAACAACCTTTATGTGTAGATGGTAGTAAAGGAAGGATTTTTTGCTGCGACCAAATTTAACAGAATTATGGCCCTTTGTTGATTTTTTCACTATATACTATGTAGAAATTTTGTGAACGCAACTCCTCTTAAACCGGATGGCAGATTTTGCTTAAACTTACAGGGATGAACAACCTTCAGGTGTAGATGGTAGTAAAGGAAGGAATTTTTGCTGCGACCAAATTTTACAGATTTATGGCCCTTTGTTGATTTTTTCACTATATACTATGTAGAAATTTTGTGAATGCAACTCCTCTTAAACCGAATAGCAGATTTTGCTTAAACTTCCAGGAATGAACAACCTTAATGTGTAGATGGTAATAAAGAAAGGAATTTTTGCTGCAACAAAATTTAACAGAATTATGGCCCTTTTTTGATTTTTTCATTATATACTATGTTGAAATTTTGTGAATGCAACTCCTCTTAAACCGGATGGCAGACTTTGCTTAAACTTCCAGGGATTAACAACCTTAATGTGTAGATGGTAGTAAAGGAAGGAATTTTTGCTGCGACCAAATTTAACAGAATTATGGCCCTTTGTTGATTTTTAGTTTTCAACTTGTGGCACATGTAGTCCAAAAAATATTTGACCTAGCGTCATAAGATTGACAGAACAGTGGCGTGTGGGGGCATCCGTGTCCTATGGACACATTTCTAGTTGTTATGTAGTGTTAAAAGGAAATTTTGTCAAATAAAAATTACAGAAAGAAATATTAATAATCATCAGATGTATAAGTGATATCATAACTGATTTTTAAATTGCATGTAACTTTAAGTTATAAAAGGAATTTTTAATTCATATTTTAATTCATATCCTGGAGAATGTAACACAAACTTGAGGTCAAGTCATTGTTAACCCATAGCCTACTGGTGGCAACAGATACACTCATGTGACTTGTGCAGACCTGCCCATTTATAGTTAAATATTAGCCTGCTGATTGCAATAGATTTTACGTATGTCACCAGTGCAAGGGTTTAACTCACTACAGTGTTGGAGCAGTACCTCCAGACACTTGCAGAAATCATGATCACAAAATAGAAAAATATCGCTTTTTACACTGCTTTTTACATTTTTCATTAATTATTATATATAAATATGTGTGATTGGATTAATTTGGTGTCTTTAAAAGTACATTTGGAGGGTGAAAAGGCAATATTTTAGCATTTAATTATTCAAGCACATTGTCCGATATACGAGCGGTTATCCAAAAATTTGTGGACTTTCTTTGTTGCATAACAACATTTGAGATATTAATTTGAAATTCTTACACTGTTTAGAAGCATTAATAACAAATAAACACAGAAAAATTCATGTTAGTAGCTTCTTATATTACAACAATATTATATTTTACATAAACACATGTCGGTGACAGCGGCACACTCCAAAACGTTATTGACATCAACGTCATAATAACATACAACTTTTGCTTCAACGTTATGCAGTCAATGACAGTTACTGCTTCTCAAAGTAATGACCATCACTAATTTTTTTATGCCACTTAAACATTAATAATCATTATATATTATTTTCTCTGTTCATCTGCTGATTTTTATCAAATGTTTTTGTAGGTGTCATACCCAAATTACAATATAATTATAATAATAATAATGATCGTTTTATAACCATGGGATTTTCAAATATCCGCCTGTCCGTCATTTTCCTGTTGTAAACAATATCAGCATTTCTAGCAATATCAACAAAAATTAACGGAAATGGCATCTGTTATTTTAAAGAATTACTTAAATAAGGTCATAGAAGAATGATGCGATGTTGAGCGGATTTTCTACATTAAATTTTTAGTTTTTTAGTAAGAAATATACGATAACTTACTGCGCTTTTCTACCGTGCGTCGGGTGATGTGTATGTGCTTATTTAAAAGCAATATAAAATCATTATTTATTGTTGCAGTTAATTGTTCCTTTCAAAATGTGTTTATAATATTCTACAAGGTATGCTGAAAAAATTTCATTACAATACATGGTGACGTTCAAGAGATATTTAAAAAGTCCACGAATTTTTGGATAACCCCTCGTATACCGAAATACAACATTTAGTGCTCCAACACTTTTTAGTCCTGCCCTAAATGTAAGCCAAGATCAGCAGACACAGCCATCCAAATCTTAACATATCATCTCTATCAATCAAATGTTTATAGTTAAATGTTTTATTTCAGACTAAAGCATTATGGGATTGGGCCATACCTTTGATGAGAACTGCAGTGAATAATCTAACTGTGTCAACAGTCTCTGATTGGTCAACATTCTTTACTAATGTCTCTGTAAGTAGTTGTCAAAGTGTTGAATGCAGACATTTAATTTTATATAAGAATTACAATTTTGTAGAAGTCATAGTTCAAAAGAATTTTTTTTATGTATTTACAAGATATGGTTTGTATGAGTGTTTCTGCCAGATACAGACTAGTGTTGTTAAAAACATTTTTCCTGAAAATTGTACAAGTTCTAGCTTTATTATCAAAACATGTCGGCCAAATTTCTATCCTTGAAGATATTTTTATCAACAATTTAGAATGATTTTTGTTTTATGTATGGCCTTCTGTAAACGGATCATAAAATAACACATACTTTGCCTTGGATTTGAACTCTCACTTCTGGGTAAATAAGGAATAGGACTTGCATCATTCAAAAATGCATAAATGACATATTTTTTTTACTGTTTTGGAGAATGAAGATGTGTGAATATTTAAGTTTGAGAAAGAGAGGTTAAATTCTGAAATAAGTAGTTTTAATATGGTTTTAATGTGTATATATGTTATATACAGGAGAGTAGAGATCCTAGGAAGATATACTGGTTGTATGAAATGTTGATGGATAATCCATTAAATGGTGAAGGCGGATCATTTGGAGATGCTGGGTAAGCTGCTATATTCTACATATATTCTTTATATTCTACTACTTAGGCTGTTTGTTATTTATATTGTTCACCAAGATGTAAAAATAACTGACTCTGAAGAATTTGTTCCTGACATATTAGGAGAGATGGGTTTGATTTCTTCTTGTAAATAATTAGTCTTTCACAGGTGTAATAGTACTTGACAGTTTCATGCAAATGTAGAAAGAGTCATAAATGACATTTTTCTAATAGTAGAAAGTGTAAAAGTACATCTTTGGGTCTTTCTGTATCATGCCTGTTGTGTTAATAACAAGATATTTATCTATGATAAATTAGTTTATGGAGGTATTCAAATAAAAGTATTAAGTTTAAGGCTTGGTTTGTTACACCCTCATTTTAAGATACTAGAGTTAAAGTTGCTGTAGATTTAAAAATGATCTGAATGCATGTAAATGTATATGATGGCTACATCCTACTTGAACTGGAAATACTATGTAACTGTATTGCCATGATATCTTAAGCATGTTGCCCATAATTTATACATAAATTTACTGTTCTTTGATGTGTTGAGAGAAATATGGACTGTTTTAGTAGTGTTCATAACAGCAACCTGTTATTATAGTTAAGTTATATTTTCAGACGTCTTCTGATGATACAGAATGCCTTGTTACAACAAGAGTGGCGAGTTGGTGACCTTCATCGTAGATTATACACTTACTTATCTCCCCATTTCTCATATACATACAAAAATGTGAGGGATAGGTTGGGCAGGTATGTTTGTTTAAGTCTCAGTTTGTTTTTATGCCCCCACAATGTGGGAGCATATAGCGTTGCACTTGTCCGTATGTCAGTCCGTCCGTCCGTCCCGAAATCTTGTGAACGCAACTCCTCTTAAACCGGATGGCAGATTTTGCTTAAACTTACAGGGATGAACAATCTTAATGTGTAGATGGTAGTAAAGGAAGGAATTTTTGCTGCGACCAAATTTAACAGAATTATGGCCCTTTGTTGATTTTTTCACTAGATACTATGTAGAAATTTTGTGAATGCAACTCCTCTTAAACCGGATGGCAGATTTTACTTAAACTTACAGGGATGAACAACCTTAATTTGTAGTTGTTAGTAAAGGAAGGAATTTTTGCTGCGACCAAATTTAAGAGAATTATGGCCCTTTGTTGATTTTTTCACTATATATTATGTAGAAATTTTGTGAACGCAACTCCTCTTAAACCTGATGGCAGATTTTGCTTAAACTTACAGGGATGAACAACCTTAATGTGTAGATGGTAGTAAAGGAAGGAATTTTTACTGCGACCAAATTTTACAGAATTATGGCCCTTTGTTGATTTTTTCACTATATACTATGTAGAAATTTTGTGAATGCAACTCCTCTTAAACCGGATGGTAGATTTTGCTTAAACTTCCAGGGATGAACAGTCTTAATGTGTCGATGGTAGTAAAGGAAGGAATTTTTGCTACGACCAAATTTAACAGAATTATGGCCCTTTGTTGATTTTTAGTTTTCAACTTGTGGCACATGTAGTCCAAAAAATATTTGACCTAGAGTCATAAGATTGACAGAACAGTGGCGTGTGGGGGCATCCTTGTCCTATGGACACATTTCTAGTTATATCAGTGTTGAGATAATTCATATAAATTCTTCTTTATGCTGAAGTAATGTACTTTATACCTGTCCTTGCAAATCTCTCCTTCCATCTGTATTTCAACATTGTTCAAAGATGCTTTCCATATATAGTTTTGTTCTGTTCATAGTAATGATACAAAATTAAGGTTAACATTAGTCATAGTAAGTTTAAATGCCTCAGGAACAAATAAAATTTTACTACCATGAATTTTATAATGTTTTAATAATAGTTATAGAGCAATGTTAGATGCTCGCTACCTGAAAAAAGGTAAAGATAAATGTGAAATAATTTGTCATGAAATTAGCAAAATATAAACAAAGTAATAATTTGACTTCCATACAAAATACTAATGAACTATAATTATACTTATTGACAAATTGCATGAACTATAGTTATACTTATTGACAAATTGCATGAACTTTAATCATACTTATTGACAAATTGCAACAGATGAAAAAAGATTGGGCAGGTAATTGTCTAATGAGTAACTTTTTGAATACAATAAAAGTACATGTACACCAAAATTGAAAAATATTTTGAGAAATACATGTTTTTCTGAGGCATAACATTTATCATTAGCAAATTTGTACTTGCTCTTTGTTTGACAGTTTTGAGACAGAATAGGGTACATTGGATGTTGATATAAATATAATAGAAACTTGAAAGAATGTAGTCAGAACAAAGCAACTTGATTGATTTTGCCTTTTTATTTCAGTTTACTATCAGATGTGTTCATACTAGACTATAAGATGTTCCCATGGTCAATGACTACATCACCAGCAAGGAAGGAATTTATAGATCATGTTTTACCACAGTTACATAAACTTAAAGACCTTATCATTGAGGAAGCTCAAAATCAAAATGGAGGTATGTTATCTATATATTTGTTTTTCAATCTTTTACACAAAATGTAAGTACATGGGTACAATTTTTCAGGCATTTGCCTGAAGTTCAGGTTTTTCCTACTCCAGAAAGTTCTCTTTTTTCAATATAAAACCAACTGAAATTATGTAAATTAAAGGTTTTCAGGTTTTCTGATATTCCATGTAACTAGTACATACCATTCAGCTATGTACAGTTATAATGAAAGTTGAGAAATATATTTTTATTTTTCTGTTAAAAAATACTTCTTCTTGCAATTGACTTGAAATAGGCAGTTTTTTGCTGACATTGTGTTAATGACACACATTTTTAGCTCGACTTTTCTATGAAAAGGGGAGCTATCCTACTCGCCCCGGCGTCGGCGTTGGCGTCACACCTTGGTTAAGTTTTTCGTACCACCCCACTTTATTTCAGAAGTATTACAAGTATGGCTTTGAAACTTACCATACTTGTTCACCATCATAACCTCCATCTACAGACAAGAGTACATAACTCTGTCAAGGTTTTTGACAGAATTATGGCCCTTTTTTGACTTAGAAAGTGTATTGAGCTTGGTTAAGTTTTTTTTGTACCACCTCACTTTATTTCAAAACCATTGGAGGTATTGCTTTGAAACTGACCATACTTGTTTACCATCACGACCTTCATCAACAGACAAGAGGACATAACTCTGTCAAGGTTTTTGACAAAATTATGCCCCTTTTTGACTTAGAAAATACATTGAATATGGGTAAAATCCACTTATTGCCTTAACCCTTTGAGATATTGCTTTGAAACTTTTAATGCTATTTCACATCATTACCCCCATCTGTACGCAAGAGAAGGTAACTCTGTCAAGGATTTGTTTTAAAAATTAAGGCCTTTTATCGACTTAGAATCTTGGTTAAGTTTTTAGTACCAGTCCACTTTTTGACTGAACTGTTTGAGATATTAATTTGAAAGTTGGAATACTTGTTTACAATCATGATTCCCAACATGTCCAGGAGAAGGTAATTCTGTCAAAGATTTTATTTGAATTATGGCCCTTAACTGTCAATGTTTTGTATTATAGGCAAGCACTAAAAAACTTTGCTGCAGTGTTCAAGGGTATCACACAATTCAGTAAAATAATTCTTCACTAAATATCTTAATGCTCATGGCCATTGTTCACTTTAAAAATACAGAGATTCTTGTATTGCCTTTTACTGCAAAAACTTTTTTTATTGGCAAGCAATAAAAAAGTCGAGCGCGCTGTCTTACGGACAGCTCTTGTTAGCTTTATTAATCAACGAAAACTAGGGCTATCTTACTCGCCTGTATGTTGAAGCTACACTTGATATAATTTTAATTTTTAAAGGAGCAACTTCGTGAGCAACTCTTCAAAATTCACCAGCCACTTGTAGTTCACTTGAAGCTTCATGCATGTCTTGGAGATCATAATTGTTGGTTACTTTCCAAGGCCCGAAATAAAATAAATAAATAAAATTTTGACTGTATTTATGCCCTGTATGAACTTAATTAATCATCGTGTAAGTTTTGCACACAAGGGTTTAGTCTGTACAAGTGTTTTAAGATATTCACTAGAAATAAACAAACTTGTGTCTTTTGGCTCAGACTTATTTATCATAATCCTTGATATAGGCTATATTTCATTATTGTCTCAAGCAAAGTTACATTAATTTTAATAAAGAACATTGCCTAGTTAGTGTATCCAATATTGTGTACAAAGTTATTGCTAACTCCCTGTAACTTTCTGCACTCAGTAAAACCTTGATTACCATAGTACACTGTTCATGATTACCCTATTTATGCTAGCAGCAACATAAATAATGATTTTCAGCATTTGCCTGCTAATTTGCACTGTGAGACAAGACTCTTTACTTCAGTCTGCTGAGTTTAATTTATTTTTGGTATTGATTCCTTCAAAATCAATTGGAAGGTTCCAAAATCAACGCAGTATAAGTCCATTACACTGATTTAAAAGTTAATCACACAAAAATTTCTTTATTGATATTCAATAAAAAAATAAAAAGGCAAACAGCAGAGAATGACTACTGTGATCATTCCAATGAGATCTAGTCTTAACATTGCTTTTACAGATTTCCCATTTTTCAACAAAATAATTTCATGTAGATGCATATAAATAAATTTCCATTTCTTTAACTTTTTTATGTTTAAGATAATATTATATCAAGCCCAAATTTGATATTTCAAAATACTGATAATTTCTATACAGTTCCTCTTAAAATGTAAATATATTTTTAGAACTCACAGAGAAATATATGCTATGTTTAATATTCTACTTACTATGGGTAACAGAGTATAAATATAGAGCGTCATTAAAAAGACCAAATTGACATTTATTGAGAATGCAGTTTCTCAATCTTAGTTTGTGCATTTAGTAAGAATTTCTTATATTTCAACATATTTCTGCAACCCAAAGATGTACACAGTATATGTTTAAAGTTTGACAGGCGTATTAAAAAGTGATATAGATACATGTCATAATAATTTAAATACCATATAATATTTTAAGGATCTGTAGAATCTAGTATGACTACAGATAAACTAGAGACCAGTGTAGGGAAGATGGACATAGACAATCAAAGTGAGGAAAGTGAAGAGAGGAAAGAACTAATAAGGCTTTGTAAAACAGGTATTTCTTCTAATCCTTATAACTTTGTTGTTGTTTTTGTGTTGTTGTTTTTAAACTGAATCTAGAATTATGTCCTCTGCACAGACTTCAGGTTTTTCTGTGTTAACAAGCTGTCTAGTTGGATTACAGTTGTGCTACTTGCATTTTTTGCTTGTTCCTGAAAATATGCATGAAGGGACATCTACAAGTAAAGCTTTTAAGTCCTCATGTAACCTTTACAATGTTGGTGTGATATAAAATCTAACTAACAACATGTAAACATACCTCATTCATCATTTTGAATTATGCTGTGGATTCTATATCAATTTTGTTACTACATTTAATACCGCCTCCGTGGTCGAGGGGCTATAGTAGATGACTATTAATCCAGTTACCTCTCTGGCGTGGGTTCGATCCCCGGGAGATGCTTTTGTAGTTTAGCACGGAGGAAGGTAGTCTAGTACTGGTGTAACTCTCCAGGAACGATGGTTAGGAAACTACCCGCCTATATAACTGAAATACTGTTGGGAAAAGGCGTAAAATGAAACAGACAAACAAAACTACATTTAGTTAAGTAACCAACCGTATAGAATCTGGTCAGACTTTGTGGATATGCACACTGGCCTGGCCCTTGACTGTTGGCATACGTCTGACATAGGCCTGTCATTATTGAAGATATAATAGTAAAATAGAAAAATATTTTTTTCCAGTGATGAAGTGTTTGACAAGTTGTATTAGCAGGACATTCAACTCCGCACCTCCAGAAATCATTAAATTACTGCCAGTTGTAAGTATTGAATGATATAATTGATCAGTTATTTTCAATGATTTAAATAGTACATAATGTCTCAGTGACAGTCTTTCAAACATTAACACCATTTGAGACGCGTCATGACAAAACCAACATAATGGGTTTGCGACCAGCATGTATCCAGACCAGCCTGCGCATCCGCGCAGTCTGATCAGGATCCATACTGTTCGCTATTAGTTTCTATATATGTAATAGAGTTTGTTAGCGAACAGCATGGATCCTGATCAGACTGCACGGATGCGCAGGCTGGTCTGGATCCATGCTGGTCGCAAACCCATTATGTTGGTTTTGTCATGACGCGGCTCATTTGTCTGAACAATAAGTTTGTAAGGAGATGAAGGTTTGGCTTTGACAATAAAACATTTATTTTGAACTAAATTATGGGAGAAGAAAGACTTGATAATGGTATTTTATTATAGTTCTCATTTTGTTGAATAAAATTTAGTTTTATTGTTTCTAGGTCCATTATGCCTTAGAAATGCTATAAATTTCATTTCTCAAAAAGTTTTTATTTTTAGCATCTTGTTACAATTTGCAAAACATACTCATTTGCCATATACATAAAATATATTTTATTTTGCTGTGTTGGCAATTGGTATATTAAGTGAATTAGTATTTTGAATGAAGTCAAAATACTACTTTGTCTACATTTTGCTAGCTTTACAACTCATCAGTGCAAGTTTAGTGCTACTCTTTTCAGTTGTTGAATATCTAACATGCTCTTAATCCATTATTAAAACATTTATTTAACACATATTTGGAATTTCTAAAGTATTAGAAAATATGGATTTCTGAGGCATACTGTGCCTTTAAACTTATATTGCATCAAAAAAGATTAAAAGTCATTCCATGTGATATATTCTTACAAAACAAATTTTTGTAATGAATTGTAAATATATTTTTGAAATTGTACATCTGTTTTTGACCTTTTACACATTTTTACAACTTTTACACTACTTGTTATAGGGTTTGTAAGCAAACAGCATGCATTCTGATCAGTAATGAAATAGATCTATTGGATTCTTGAATGAATTAAAAAAAATCAGAAAGGTGCAGACAAGATTGAGTTTACTGATAGACAATAAGTAGATTTTTAGTTCATTACTGGTACATAAGAGATTATGTTCACAAATGCTCTCTTGTCACTCAAACTGTTTGGTAAATGATTAATCAAGTCTTTATAATTAGAGCAGAACATTTATGCTCCTTTTTTGTATGTTTTTTTTTTTTAATTCTTTTGTTAAATGAGCATGTCCCCCAGTTTCAAGCAAATTTAAGATTGACCCTTATCTCCCTAAAGATCTTAAATGGACCTATCCATCTTTTATTCCAGACAAAACCATTCATTTTTTTAAAGATATACTATGCTCAAATTTGATATCAGAAAAAAAAAAAATAATTGCTACACAATCTCTTTGTAAATATGAAATAAACATGTTTTGACTTCACACAAAGTTGATATGTCACATTTAAAACGCTACACACTACAGGTCGTTACAATATGAATATATAGTGTCGTTAAAAAAACTGGCAGTTTTTTAAGAAAATACCAACTTTACTTGTCCTGTAATAGAGAATGTGAATTGAAATGCAAAGTTTATCCTTTTTTTATTCAAATAAGACACATTCAGTAAGAATTTCATAGGTTTTAAAATATTTTACTCAAAGATGAGCATAATATATCTTTAAGGGAAATTTAAATTTTCAAAGTATATGCTGGCTGAAAAGCAAACAGAGCAGTTCATGATCATATGGTACAGATTTGCCAGCTTATCTTGGACTGCCCTTGTCACTTACGATAGAAATAGAGAATAACAGGTTACTGTCTTTTGAGAATGGGTTTCTCAGACGAGGTTAGATATGGTCCTGGAAGGGGCGAGGCTTGCCGAGCCCCATTCCGGACCATATCTAGCCGAGTCTGAGAAATCCCTTTCTCAAAAGACAGTAACCTGTTATTCTTTTTATCATGCCATTACTATGACTACTGCCTGATAAAGCCTGTCTGAGAACAGCAACCTTTCTCAGTCAGTGACTTGAGAACACTATGTTCCTACGCCAGATCAGCATTGATGATGTTTATTGTTGGTATTGTTTAATTGACTTTGCTGAATATTTATGATAATACACAGTAAATAAATTGTTAAAGCAAATTGTACCAAAAATTGCGTTGTGTTATAAAATTATTGGTAAAAACCCTCGGACTACTTTTTTGGCGTATAACCCTCTTGTGGTTACCGTACTTTCAGAAATTAGCGCCCCGAATTAAAAAAATAAGATGCAAAATCATAATAGAGGCATGATAAAAAGAATAACAGGTTACTGTCTTTTGAGAAAGGGATTTCTCAGACTCGGCTAGATATGGTCCGGAATGGGGCTCGGCAAGCCTCGCCCCTTCCAGGACCATATCTAACCTCGTCTGAGAAACCCATTCTCAAAAGACAGTAACCTGTTATTCTCTATTTATCATGCCTTTATTATGATTTTGCATCTTATTTTTTTAATTCGGGGCGCTAATTTCTGAAAGTACGGTAACCACAAGAGGGTTATACGCCAAAAAAGTAGTCCGAGGGTTTTTACCAATAATTTTATAACACAACGCAATTTTTGGTACAATTTGCTTTAACAATTTATTTACTGTGTATTATCATAAATATTCAGCAAAGTCAATTAAACAATACCAACAATAAACATCATCAATGCTGATCTGGCGTAGGAACATAGTGTTCTCAAGTCACTGACTGAGAAAGGTTGCTGTTCTCAGACAGGCTTTATCAGGCAGTAGTCATAGTAATGGCATGATAAATAGCAGACTAAGGGTTAAGACAGTATTTTTCATAGTTAAAACATTTTCAAGGTTATCATAAATAGGTGATTTAAAATAGCTCAACTTTTATGGCCCCCAAGAAAGGCGGGGGCATATATATTTGCCCTTGTTCATCTGTCCTGCTGTCACAGTATTTATCTGTAGACTGACAAAGCAGTGGAATGTGGGAGCATCCATGTCCTATGGACATATTTCTAGTTTTGACAAATTTTCATTGGCAAATGTATAGCTTTAAGTTGGTGAGTAAAGTGTAAATGTTCCTTATTTCAGATGTGTACATTAGAGAGCGAGTCAAAGGATGAAGAATTGAACACAGATTGTACAGTGGCTCTAGCAAGTCTGTCTCAGGCATTGATACAGCCTGAAGTTATACCTGATATATTACATACTGTCAAAACTGTAAGTATTGCAAATAATAAAATGGCCATTGAAATAGGATAAGCTTAAATGAAACTGCCCTTAAAATGAAAATGTCATTGAAATTGGACAAGCTTTAATGAAAATGCCCTTTAAATAGGGAAGCTTTATTGAAAATGCTCTTGAAATAGGACAAGTTTTAATAAAAATGCCCTTTAAATAGGGAAGCTTTATGGAAATTCCCTTGAAATAGGACAAGCTGTAATCAATATACCCTTGAAAAAGAACAAGCTGTAATGAAAATGATCTTCAGATAGGGCAAGCTTAATGAAAATGCCATTGAAATAGGATACCATTTTTAGCTCGACTTTTCTATGAAAAGGGGAGCTATCCTACTCGCCCCGGCGTCGGCGTCGGCGTCACACCTTGGTTAAGTTTTTCGTACCACCCCACTTTATTTCAGAAGTATTACAAGTATGGCTTTGAAACTTACCATACTTGTTCACCATCATAACCTCCATCTACAGACAAGAGTACATAACTCTGTCAAGGTTTTTGACAGAATTATGGCCCTTTTTTGACTTAGAAAGTGTATTGAGCTTGGTTAAGTTTTTTGTACCACCTCACTTTATTTCAAAACCATTGGAGGTATTGCTTTGAAACTGACCATACTTGTTTACCATCACGACCTTCATCAACAGACAAGAGGACATAACTCTGTCAAGGTTTTTGACAGAATTATGCCCCTTTTTGACTTAGAAAATACATTGAATATGGGTAAAATCCACTTATTGCCTTAACCCTTTGAGATATTGCTTTGAAACTTTTAATGCTATTTCACATCATTACCCCCATCTGTACGCAAGAGAAGGTAACTCTGTCAAGGATTTGTTTTAAAAATTAAGGCCTTTTATCGACTTAGAATCTTGGGTTTAATACTATTAAATTTATTTAAGGCTCAACTCAGTTTTTTTTTCTTTCTTACCAGCCCTCTTTTGACTTAAACATTTCAAACTTTGCTGCAGTGTTCAAGGGTATCACACAATTCAGTAAAATAATTCTTCACTAAATATCTTAATGCTCATGGCCATTGTTCACTTTAAAAATACAGAGATTCTTGTATTGCCTTTTACTGCAAAAACTTTTTTTATTGGCAAGCAATAAAAAAGTCGAGCGCGCTGTCTTACGGACAGCTCTTGTATGGATATGCCCTTGAAATAGGAAACACTTTAATTACAAAAATTACCTTGAAATAGGACAAGCTTTAATGAAAATGCCCTTAAAACATGACAAGCTATTATGAAAATGACCTTGATACATTGTATAGGGCAAGCTTTCATGAAAATGCCCTTGAAGTAGGACAAGTTTTAATGAAAATTCCCTTGATATAGGACAACCTTTAATGAAAATATCCTTGAAATAGGACAAGCATTGTTGAAAATGCCCTTGAAATAGGACAACTTTTATTGAAAATGCCCTTGAAATAGGATAAGTATTCATTAACTTGTATTAGAATTTTAGTTATTCAGCTTATGAAATAAATTAGACTTTGGAATGTGACTTTAATAAGATAGGCTTATTAACTCACAAAGCTTCTTTGCCTTAGTGCATTTTTATGTATCAGTTATATGGCCTAATTATTTTTTTAGAAAAAGAAAAAACATCTTGTTTATAAAAAGGTTCAAGCCTGATTAATGTATAATTAATTAATAGTGGCAATTGTATTGTTGACTCCAGGTATAATTAAATATCACATGACAAGATTTTGTATGGATATTCTTTAATCTTTATTCTAAAACCTAGTATGTCCTGTTTAAGGAAGATGAATTATGTAGTGCTTATGCTCATCTGATAAAAATACTAATTAGGTTTCATTCTAGATGTTGTCTTACTGATATATGAAAAGTAGCCCTATGACCTTGACAATGCGTCTTCTGTGATATAAAAAAAAAAGAATGTTTAAGAAGAGAATCTGGAAACTGTGTCAGTCTTGAATTATGTGTAATTAATTGTCAGTTTTATCAGTGTAATTGTTGACTTAAGCATGATTAAATGTAGTACAAAAATAGATGTATATTTGTTATGAAAAAGTCAACCTTGGGTCTAATTTGAAAGTACAGGATGATAAGATATGTGTATAAAAGTACACTCTATAGGAATTAAGGGCACACCCACACATGTACACTACAGAGTGCTGTATAATCAATACTAGAAGTACATTGTATATGTTAGTAATACACTTGTTGCTATATATAGTAACAAAATCGCCTATGATTTCAACTGATTATGAGTGTCATGTGACCTATTATGAGTTTGCGGCCCTGGGCCGAGAACTAGTAATCAGCCCGCTGAACATGTGCACGTGCACAAACTGAAACAATGACGTCACATTTTACATAATCAAACAGTTAACTATAAAAAGTGAGAGTAGGTTTAAGCATGAATCGCTTGATTTTATTATGAGAGCTTAAGCGTATTTCGTACTCACAGAGTTTTATTACTATTGAAATTTAAAGAAATAATACGACAAATTCATTCTGAAAAAACGAATTATAGATTCTACAGTAGTGTACATTGAACATACAAAAAGTAAGCAACTCTATGGAAGTTACTGTACTGTACAGTACGGTAGAAACGCAGACAGGAATTTCAACGAAAGAAATTCCAAAGTATTTTTTTAGAAAAATTCTACTATTAGATCTACTGTACCAAGTGTATTAAAGACATTAATACACAGCAGAGTAGGGCCAGGAGGTTATAATCGGCCCTGAAATAAATAATGCCCTCGGGCTGAAGCCCTCGGGGGCCATTATTTATTTTGCGGGCCGATTATCACCTTCCGGCCCTACTCTGCCTTGTATTAATCTCTACTTATTCATTATTAACAAGGAATGAAACAATGGTCAGAAATGTCAGCCAGCAATAACAGCAACAAGAATGAAAAGGCAATTTTAACAATGATCAGTGCGCATTTTGTGCATCACCTGAATAAAGATCCTGTTCCCATTAGCAAAGTGCTCAGAAGTGAGCTTTTGTAAAGGCAGTCTGTCTTACCTTTTGCATTGTTAGCCACAATGATTTTTAAACAAGATCTATGTACTCATATATTGCATGATGAATTGTGACCAGAATGATCCTTTCAGAAACTTTAATGCCCAGCATAAAGGTGATATGCTGTGGTGGTCAAATATTGGCTCCACACTGGGGGTCACTAAGTTGACATATTGTTAAGGAAAACATACATGTAGTTTAAAATCATCTTCACTTTAGAATGAGAGCATTATCTTATGACCCTCTTTAAAGTTTTATGAGTTTTGCCCCATAGGTTTAAAGTTGGCCCATCCTGGGGGCCACTAAGTTTTCATAGACTAATATATAGGAAAACACATAAAAATTCTCTTGTGTAAATCTAGAGTGCCTAGAGCTAAGATATTCAGCATGTAGAATTGCTTTATTGACCAATACCAAAAAATACATTGGGGTCAGAAATGGCCTAGCCCCGGCCTCTGTGGATAACTTAGTTTATATCGAGTTTACATTGACATTGATAGCAAATTTTACCTACAGCATTAATATTTGGCAAACTGCGTCACCTTTTGGTGTTCTACAAAAGTTATATAAATCATACCTTTAGGGTCTGTTTTGGTTCTGGCCTTGGGATCTTTTGGTTTATAGAAGCTCATGTAGGAAAAAAATCATATAAGTTGTCTTTGAAGGAAACTGCCTTACACTGTAACAAATGCCTTTTATCCCCACAAAAGCTATTTTGTAATGATAATTATTTGTATCTGGCTTTTACAGGTGACAGGTTTACAATCTTGGCATGCAAGGTCTGCCATTCTAGGATACATTCAAGTGATGGTATTTTGTAATTTCTTCACCTTACAAGACCCTAAACACAAAGAAAACATCAAAGAAACTGTGATGCATCTAATATGTGATGATAAACTTGAGGTAAAAAATACTATTTTTTGTTTTGATTTATTTAAAGATGGCAATGATGGTCTGTTTAAGACCATTTACAAACGTTGACAAAAACTCAAAAAACAAATTAAACCAACTGTACTGGAGATAATGTATTTTGATGTAGATCTGATTTCCAATCTTTACTTTAGTTATTCAGGCAAAATAATGACAAAAATATTGAAATGATCTAATGTACGCAAATCAATCTAAAATGACTTTTCTTGAAGTTTAAGCATGAATTTCTGTTAAAATTCTATATATTTTGGGTTTGAAGCATAAATATATCTATATATGTTGTACAAAATTTAGACGCCAATAGAATCACCAAATAGTTTATAAACAAGCACAGTGACTTGAACTAACCCTTGAAGTGACAATAACAGATATTGTTGATATTGTATGATTTTAAACAAGCCTAAGTCATTCATTTGACACGTTTCCAGAGTTCACTTTGACAACTATTGTGAAATGCTAGTGCTCTAACCTGACCCACGCGGGTCAAGTTAGGAAACCACCATTTTATTCTTTATATGGAGAAAAGTTTTGTTCCTTTGACTGTCTAGTGTATTCATTTTAAGGGCATTTGCAGAATAATGAATAAAAAAAATCAAAACTAAGAAATGAAACTTTTGCCTGTGTCTCCCTTTAATTAACTTGTGAAAGAAGTCATTAAGTGTGAATTATATATTTATAGGTACGGGAAATGGCTAGTATAACACTAAGTGGCCTATTACAGTGTGGGTATCTGGAGATGGACCAAGATTTACTGGTAATTCATTTTTTGCTTTTTTGTCGTTTTTATGTGAAAATATAGCTAAAATAAGATTTGAATTTATAGTGTTTTTAAGCAAAACTGTAAATGTTTTGGTAATAATGTTTTGTTTTTGACTGCTAGAATGAACTAAAACTTTGAGATTCTTCTGATAATATCTGCCAAGTATTTCCAAAATTTATATATAGCAGTTACTGATTGGACAAGAAATATGAGAAACAATTTTTTGAAAGGGAGATTTAATCATGGTTATTTCATGCAGCACATTGTCCTGATTTGATGATAATTTCTACAATTTTTTTTTTTATATCAAAGTTCAAGACTGTTTATTATAAAAACACAAAATCTGGACAAGTTAGTGATGCAAACTCTGTATGCTGTCTCCCATGTAAGCTGGAGGAGATAAGGGCTTAGTTTATACAAGTTTGTGTTGGAACAGGAAGCTATAAGCTTATTGAAACACTCTCAGATCCATATCTGGAACCAACCAGTACTAAACAATAAATGTAGTTTCTTTCTTAAGAAAACATTGTGTAATCTTACATGTAAACCACTCAGGCTTGACATAATAATAATTGATTACAATACACATACTTTTAATGTAGCGTATTGTGTCTTTTATAGTTATTGAATATTGACGTGCGATTGAAATGTAATTATTTCAGGACCATTTTGAGAGACTGAGCAGTACAAAGATAAGTAAACGTATGAAGTCAGAGAACTTACCTGTTGAGAAGCTGTTACAGCGCCACGCAGGAGTTCTGGGTTTGAGCGCTTATGTACAGGCCTATCCATATGATGTCCCAGAATTTATGCCACAAATTCTTATGGATCTTAGTAACCATGTTAATGACCCACAACCTATACAGGTAACATCCAAAATCTTATCCAACTTAAACCTATTTTATTTTTGTTACTCTTGCTTAAATTTCTTTTTTCTAGATGTCATTGTGATTTATGAAAAAAAGAAAAACTAAAAAAACACAGATTTATAATTAAGTACATGTTGATTTTAAAAAAACTTTTAAACTTTGATAAGTGATGTAATTCTTTTTACTTTTTTATTCAAAAAAACAAGATTCCTTTAAAGTGAATTTCAAATTAATATTCATATTTATTATTACACTAGCATGACTAAATAATTAAGACAATTTGAAGATTACCTTACATGACCCAAAAGAGTTGTTTTATCTTTTCACTCAAATCTTTCTTAAATATGAATTAACCTTTTCATTATGATTCATTTAAAAGAATGAAATCAATTTCAAAAACAGATTTGTTCAAACTGCATTTTCTTAGGGCCAAAATTAATCAAGTTTGTAATATTCATCAACAATTAATACTTTAGAATTCTAGAAGTGATAACAATTGTTTAAGCCAAAAATATAAAGTCACACAAAAATGCAGTTGTGTATCTGACTATAAGGACAATACTATTGGTTACTTGATTTTGAACGTTGAGTATTGAAATCTGTAAAACTTTCAGTGAACCATATTGTATTCAAAACATGCATGTTCATGGATAATGATTAGTTTCATTTCTATTTTATAGATTGACAGTACAAGAAGGACCTATGTCTAAACTTTCCGTCGTACTCACCATGATAAACTGGCACGATCATAAGCTCATGTTTACAGATGACCAACTTTGTTGTTACTAACAGATCTGTTAGTCTCACCCAAAAATTACTATGCCTTGATACCAGTCAAGACAATACCTATAGTGAGTATCTAACACTTATTATGTAATATGTGTATGGGCTGGTGGCCCCTGATAATACAAATAAACTTTTTGAATATTGAATAAGAATAACTGCATTTATTCTTGTATTTCCAAATCGAAATGACATTTTGCATTTATCTCCGGTGATTTTGGTATGTGCTGAATAAGCTAGCTAAGAAATTTTTAAAGCTTTGAAGCATATTTGAAACACTTAAATCAGCCCTCCTGGAAATAAACATTTCTGGTTAACTATTGTTGGTCAATGAAGGCTTGAATTTTTTTATCTCTGAGTTTATAGGCAACAATCAATTTACCAAGAATAAAGGCAGGTTATTGACATGAAGTGATAAAATCGCATATGCTGTGAAGTTTGGGTTCACTGACTGGATTTTCTTGTTACTGAAAAATTACTGATTAACTTGATCTCCAGTGGCTTTTAATCCATTAAAAACAATATAGAGAGCGGCTGAAAACACATATGGTTTACAGTATCTCTATAAGAAATTAAGAGGATTACAGATGATAAAAAATTAGATAAATTTCCAAGAGTTCATTTCTACTAGTGTCAAAAATGTTATTGTCCTCTTTCAGTACATAAGAGTATATTTTTCTGTGTTGTGTTTCCAGTTAATTGTTCTGGATACTCTTTGAAGCACTCGTATTTTAATGTTATCCTTTCATTGTGACACATACAAGTTGTTCCCATTTTCCAAAAAAAAAATCTTGTTATTTGGATAATGCTGATAATGGAGTAAACAGTTTTAGCTGGCCTTAAAATCAAACTTTGTTGTGGCTTTTATTGCAAGTTCAGGATCTAGATTTTTGATTGACATTGAAATATTTAAAATTGAAATAATTAGATGAACTCTAAATGTACCTACCTAACAATGTTTAATGTTACAGTAATTGAATCAATACATTACCATGTTTATATCTCCTTTATTTTGATATCAATAGCTTTTGTCTAATTGCTGGAGTAGGATATCCTTCAGAGATTTGATTCAAGTTATTGAAAGTGTCAAGTATTCTTCATGTATGGGCATATGGTTTTCAAATATTGCTTGCAGAGATAAAAGGCATCAATCTTTAATATATAGAAGATCACACTGTGCAATAAAACTGTAAGCAGATCAGAGAAGTATATCTCTGTGGGAATGGGAGTGCATGGTTGATTTTGTAATGTTGGATTTATTCTTTTACTGTTTTCTTGCTGTATTATTTCTATTTCTAGTATTGCCAGTATTTTCTGGTTTATCTTTCTTGGAAGCCGGTGTTGTTCTGCTAAATAGTTTATGATTAAATGTGGAGTCATAGCTATATCAGTGTGTCGTCATTTTAAGCATGCCACCAGTATCAAGATATTGAATTGTTGTTTCAAATTCTAGATAATTACAGTTTCTTTTTATAAAGAAAGTTAAAACACAGCTTCTTGTTTTAAGCTGTACCCTTCTTTTTATGTAATGGAAGTTTCCTGTTTGAAAGTTTGAACTGTTAAAGTGAGGTATTTATAATTATTAAAACTCTTAAATTTAATAGGAAATCAACTGTCGTGAATATGATCATGCTTAGAAGTAGATGTAGCTCCATGACAATGGTATAAACAAGTCATTATTGTAACTGGTATTTAAAGGGTTAATTAAGCCACAATAGAATGAATGAATGATGAGTATACCATACTTAATTTCATGCTTACTTAAGGGGTCTCCTGCTTACTGAAGAGGTTTTTGTTGATTGTAGTGGTAAATGTAGTTGACAAAGATTATTTGGCCACATTGGTGTTGCTTAAAATCCAAGTTATCAAATTGGAAAGATGTATTGTCACTATTTTTGAAGTATGGTAGCTATTAAGGTAACCAAGTAGCAGACTTGTTGTTTTTTGTCTAACATTGTATTTGCAGGGCTGCAACCTTTCTCTGTCTGTAAAGCTAACAGTTGAAATTGAAATTGAAAATGAAAAAAAAATTCTTACTGAATATGTCTTATGATAGGAGCTAAACAAGCCAAAATGTTTATCTTTATATTTCTTTTACCTTTTTTACAGACATCAAAACCATAGAGATAAACTGCAGGATGGTCAGGCTGGGAGAGAGCAATGTATCGTACAACAATATTACATTGGGAATCTCACAGATCTCATTTCACATATAGTAGTTGTAACAGACAACGGATCACATTATGTGTGCTAAATGTATATGTTAAACAACAATATGATTTATATCTGTAATTTATTGGTAACTTGTAAGATGAGGGGAATTATGATTAGCTAAACAAATAAATGCAAGTTCAAAGGAAAGTTCATTTATTTACATGCATGCTCTTCAGATAGATCATGTTCAATTTCTGGTTATTGACGCATTATTTTAAACAAAAATGTGTATTTGTATTTGAAATAAGTTACCAATTTAGTAAAGCCAATGGGTGAAAGTATAAGTTTAATTATTGTTCAATTTATGAGAAACTTAAATAGAAAAATATTATTAGATGTAAGAAATTTAAGCATTTTACATGTATTTGCTAAAATATTTGTATATTATCTGTCAGTGTTCTAGAATTAAATATGTACGATTGTTTGTTGATTTATTTAACAAAAGTATAATACAATCATTATTACTGGTTTAGAACAATATTTTTGCTAATGTAGTAATATTAATTAGTATTATATTTCCTGGGAAAATATAAAATAAAATTGTTGTTTTTTTTAACACAAAAAACTGTGTGTTTGTTTTTTGCATATGTTATCATGTACATATTCTTTTATTTGAGTTGGAAGTCCTTAATAATGGTTTTTGTTATACATAATTTACAATTTTGCCATGAATAGTTTTCTCTGTTTTGAAACTTAAATTGCAATGTTGATTAGTTATATATAACGTGTAACATTTAAGTTCAATAAGTCCACTAAGTGGTTCCAAATCGAAAGTAGGCCACTTAGTGAAATTAAAGATGGCTGACAATAAGGAATCACCTTAAATATACCTGTAAATTTAAACAGTTCTTCCTTTAAAACCATTAAAACCATTAAATGATTAAAACTTGATAAATTATGACCAAAAAAAATGAATATTCATGTTTGTACCTATATTCTATATTTGGTGTTTTTTTTTTAAGAAACTTAATGTATCAGTTTCAAAATATATTCTGTAATAATTTAACACACACCAATTTAAGAGAGAGGGAGAGAGATTAAAAATATACTATGCTCATCCTTGAGTAAAATATTTTAAACACAAAAATTTATTGAAATCTTTTAAATTCTTACTGAATATGTCTTATTTGAATAAAAGAATGAATAAACTATGTATGGGAAGCTTTGTTTCTTATTACAGATCAAGTAAAGTTTGTAATTTCTTTAAAACAACAACAAAACTCAGTTTTTTTAATAACACTATATATTCATATTGTGGCCACATTTAGTGTGTAGGATTTTAAACATAACATGTCCATATTGTGAGAAGTCAAAACATGTTTATATTATTTTTACAAAGACTGTAGCAATTATCAATATTTTCTAATATAGTAAATCTTTAATGTTAGCAACAGAGAGGAAGAAAATGTTAATTATTGTTAATTGTTCAAGGGTATTACGTTGATTTGAATAAGATCTACATGTTACTGCGTAGCAATCAATTCTGATTATGACTAGCAGGCTAGATTGTGAATGGTAATGTAAAGGAACATACATAAAAATATTGTACTGTTTAAAAAAGTTGAAAAGTTGATTTTCATTAAGTCTTTATTTATATTTATTATTTTACTGTTTATAAACCATACCTAGGTGACTTTGTGTTATTGACTTACATTGCTGTAGATTTTGAATAGTCCATTGTGTGCTGAGCAGACGGCATGTCAAATAGCACCCATGTGTCAGTCTGTATTGACTCCATAATGGGTCATAAATCATATTAATTACTGTAAGCACTTTAAGGATAATAGGGATTTTCATTAAGAGGGTATTTTTTTGTTTGATTCAACATTATTTTAGATTTCCGTATTTCTTTGCTGTAATTTCATGAGAAACCTAGGCAAGTGTTTATTTGTAGATTTGATTTTAAATCGTGTAATTTCCATTTTATTTAGTTAGAATATTTTGCAAATTTCTTGGTTCTTTGCATAATTATATTGTACAAATATTCTGAAATAAAGAGAGAGAATGATACACAATTACGGTTTGTTTTTTATACATAATCTTTTCATGCTTCCCGACGGATGCGCATGTAGTCGCCGCCTCGCCCGTCCTTTCATTTGTCTGTCTGTCCGCAGTCCCAAAAATAAAAAGGGGGCATCTAACTAAACAAAACAACATTGTAACAGTCCGTACCATTAAGGGACCAGGGACCATTGGTCCCACTATTAAACAAAAGAAAATTAACTAATGGCCCCTTATTACATTTCAGTCACCCTTCAGGCTGTCAGACATACTCTTGTCCGTAGAATAACGTAAAAAGTATTTAAGGAATTTTATTAAACTTTACCCACTGAGATGTAGAATCATACATTAACAAGTTGTATTCCGGACAAGCTTTATTGAAAGTGAATTTTAGGTTCCAGGACACTGCACTTCATGTCAATATTCTCTGACACTGTGTGAAGCCTTGTATTCATTGGCTAATGACTCGTAGTTACTTTGGTTTCATGTGTCCGGAGATTGAAATAGGTTTTTTGCGCATGTCGTTCAGAGTTGGTACATTTTTTTCGGTGGTCCACTAACTTTGAGTGAAGCAATACGACAGTCAAAAACTAAGGTTATCAGTTCTGTGCCTAAAATTGATTTTTTTACTTTTGCTAATTTAAGTCTTTGTTGACTGATGTCACTTATTTAATATGTGTAGGAGAGTGGTTACTTGTCTCAAGGTACACGA